CACTTGACATCTGTGATATTAGCTTACTCAGTGTTGAAATATCATCACATGAAATCTTGAACAGCTAATAATCCTTGAATTTGTCTTTCACGAGGAGCTTTTAACGTCAATTTACTTTGAATCAAAAGTAAACTCTCTTGCAAGAAAAAATAACCAACACGTTCCAATATTCCAATTCATTATCAACAACCAAGTTAGATAGTCAGATTTTAAAACAATACTCACAACTCCAACTCAGAAAGTTAAGAACAACCAAGATTTGGCAAAAGGTTTGATAAATTGAACAAATTTTTTGAATGATAGTCATAAAACTGCTTCAAGATCTATGTCATTTCTTACTTTCTTTTCTCTTTTTTTCCGACCATGGTTCCATTATGATACTAGTTGGAACAATTCAGCAGAACTACTAATACTAAAATCAAAAATTTGTTCAATGGAATAGCTGCTTCGTATATCTAAGAAGAAATTAGAGATTGTATGATAATAAGGCTAAATGCAAATAAATGTCTTCAATTCTCTCTAATCATTGCTGAAGCTTAGTTGTTTTGACTTCACATCCTACTTTTTTCCTTTTGAACAAGTTGGAAAAGGATCAAGAGCTTCAATTCAACTTATCCAAATGTGTCTTTCCGACAAACATTGTTACAATAAATAATACTTGATCCGTAATCAAAATCAACAACCATCGCCTTCTATTATTAATGTCTCAAAGTTCGACGCCATGATAATACAAGTAACCTAACCTTTAAAGTTTCTTTTGAAATTGCAAAATCTATTAACAAAGGTGTATTCATTGTTCTATCAATATCTTGATCGCTATTATGTTAATATCTTAATTCATTTCAATTCTAATCTTTACTATGTTGTTAATTTTGTAAATAAGTTTCTACTCCTTTGGTTGAAATGCTTTGATTTTTATTCAAAAATTTTGCTAGCTTGTAAAGCTTCTCTTGTGTTGGTATTTTTCTTGAATATGTTCATTTTGATGTACTTCACTAGTTGGAAATAAAAAAAAATTCATGAACTTTGTGAACACAATGAATTAAAATTATTTAGACAATTGCTTTGACAAAAATTACAATGTAAAAAAAACATGTTTGAATGCATCCTAATATCTATCAAAAAAATAACACCATCCTATAATTATTTATTATGCTTTAATTTTTGCACAAAGCAAAACATGTAATCTAGGTTTTCACATAGAGAACACTTCATCTACATACATATAAGACAACAAACGATTCGCACCGGATCTACCTTTCAAGTTGCCTGCTCCTACCCCTCGTCATTACTCTGTCACGAAACAAAACATACTATAAACAAACTTAGCACAATCAATGTCATTGACTACACCGGTACTCTTCGAGAGATTCTCCTAACTCTCTTATATAGTGAAAGTGTTATAGAGTTTCAGTTGTAAGGTTTAGATAAATCATAATCTAGATAATGTGAGCTATCAAAAGATGTAATTCTAAAACTAACAACAATGTTCAATATGAATAGTCTTATATTTATCATAATCTAATATTAGATTAAATAAAATGTTTCCTAGTCTCAAATTCTATCAAAAAAATTTCACATCAACATAAATCACATAACTTGTTATAAAATTTTATTTACAATTGTCATAGGATTTTTTAAAAAAATTTAATATTATAATATAATATAATTTTCATTATATTATATTAAATCTTAATAAATATAGAACACACATATAATTTTTTCAAATATATAATCTGAAATTTTCGAACATGAAAAAATTAAGATTAAACATTGGAAAATTATATCACAAAGTACATCATGTGAATAAGAAAATATCAATCTTACAACATACATCAAGTTAATCATATTTATAAAAAATTGATAGATTAACATAAACCGTTCTAATTTGCAATATCATTCGATATGACTAATAACATGGGACCGTATAAATATTGATTTGCACGACAACAAAAATTCAAATAAAAAAACATGATAATTAAAATGTAACATTTGATGTTATAAGAATAATACCAAACATATCTCAATAAAACGCAATTAATTTTAAATTTTAAATACTTGCAAAATAAAATGAATATTTTTACTTAAAATGTCATAGCAAAAACATTATGCTTTTCAAGTCAATATGAATCAATTTTTTAAAATCTATGAGCTGATGATGACCATTGAGCTAGCATTTGTTACTTTACCAAATACTTTATAATATAAAAATACATATTTGAATTTTTTATATAATTTAATAAAATATAAATTTTGTGTGAAAATAAATTCTTTGATAAAGTCTCATTACTTTGATTACAATTGCTGAATTAAGATAACCACACTCTATGAAAAATACTTGTAAAACTAAATTTCATGTTTTTTCAAAGGAGATGAAATGTTAGAAATGACCAATATCCTAGACTTTCAATAAAATACTTTTGTATGATAGTGTTCTCTTATTAACTGGAGTAGTTAATACTTGATGTTAATGTATGTTTTATTTCACACTTCATAACATGAAACTATATCCAATTCACATTATTATATTTGTCTGCGTGTATATATAAATTTAAATAGCAATTTTCTATTATGAAACATATTAAATTATTTTTTGAAATTCATTATTTATCTTACAAAACTAGAATATTTTTTCCAATTGCTTAGATAAATTTCTATCTATTTTAATTAAAATATTAAAAATTTACATAAACATTAAGCATAAAATTTTTATTATATAATGATACAACTTCTTTATATTTCATATATATTTTACATACCAATTCGAGATAAAAAAAGTCAAAGTTATAATGTATCAAATGTTACATGAACAACTTCTATATAAAAATGTCCACAAATTCATAATATATTGTCTTGTGTACTTTTTTTATAAAAAATAATATAATCAATTTATATGATAAGAATAATATGTTTTGAAAAAACTCACTTTGAATTATACCGTGATTGTATAAATTACAATCACAAGGTTTAATTTCAAAATCTGCACATCAAAAACCACTAATTCAAACTAAACCCAAATCGTCATAAGTTTTTCAATCCACATTATTTATTTGCCAACATTGCTGATTAACTTTTAACTAGAGTATTAAAATTTTAGTCTTTTTCCATATGCATGCTCATCTAATTAAGAAGATACATACATAAACAAAAAATATATTGTGTTTTTTTTAAATTAAAAAACAAACAAGTGTAATTTGGGTACGATGTCAAGTATAATTTCAACTTTAATTATATGTAAAAACAGTAAATAGATTTATAATCAAGATAAATTTTATATAAAGACATAAATTAGCATTTATAATTTTTAAATTTTTAAATAATCTTTTACATTGATATTTCTATAAAATTGAAGCATGTTGTATCTTGTCTAGAATTTAAATTTTGATCATTTTCTCTTCAAATTTGAAATAATACTGAAACCTATACTAATTACAATAATTGTTATATATTTTTCTATTATTTATTTAAAATTATTATTCGTTAACATTTATAAATGACTTTATCTATTAATATTTCAAAAATAATATGATTTAATAATATGATTTATTTCATAATGAAACTTATTATTATTTTTTACAAAAGAAAAGTTATGAACAGGTTTTGTCATTACACAATGTTTTATATACTTAACAGATATTTACTAATTAATTTTTTAAAAATACAAGAAACTTTGTTTCATGACTAAAGAATTTCTACTTTATTTCTTAATGACTCTGTTTGGATGATGGGTATTGTTGTACATTGAGATGATTGATGAAAGTAGAAATACCTTAAATAATTGATGATTGAATTATTGAGTGGTATCTGAGTTTTTGCTGATCTTGAAATTTTAAAAATATTTATATAATTGTAATGTTAAATAATCAAATTATTAATTATATATATATGATATTTCTCATAATTATTTAAGTAGAAAACGAAAAATTTATCATGAAATTCATAAAGTGAAATTAGATTGATTCCGTTGATTTGGGTTATTGTTTTCTTATCAGATTAAGTATTTTCAGTTGATTTATAACAATATTTGCAAACGTCTATTCAGACGTATGAGAATTTTATTTTATTTAAAATACACCTTCACTTTGTAGTCAGCGTTATTCAAATTTACCTTTGGCATTTTAACTTCTGTAAGAATCACGAGGTGATTGTATTTGGGATGCACTCTTTTGTTCTGCTAGTGTTTATTCGCTTTCCATGCATGCTTTTGTTGAAGAGGTTGAAGTCAAAGATCTATGTGTGCTTTTTGACAATTGAAGTAAAAACAAAGCTGTTCAATCAAAGAGCGAGCTGATGTCAAAGGTTTTACGTGCAATCACTTGAACCAGATGCAGTACATATGATGATAAAACCAACTGTATATTCCAATGGATTTCATAGTTATAATACTAAATATTTTATACAACAATTTCACGTAGGCATCTGACCTTCCATTCTCACACACCGCATGTTATTTTAACAGCGATTAATCTAACTTGATTAGGTAGAGTAAGTTTGGTTTTTATAGCCTCCATAATATAATGACCGCATGTTACGGAAGAAGAGGTATTCTTGTACGGCTCAAACACAGTGATTCTCGACTCAAACACGTAGCAAGCTGTGCCACATGTAGCTACTGGAGGGTCTAGCATGCGTCGAGAGCAACATGAATTATGACTTACGACCATAAACAGCGAGTACAGAGTACAGAATAAGGGTTAACAAGAATTGATTGTAGGACAGAGTGTGCCTTACACTGGACAGAAGAACAGATATACTGTGCTCTAGTGCATAGACCCACGCACGCATGGGGAAACTTCTGCTTGACTAACCGTCGGTGGGGGTCTTTGGTCCGAGATTCGGTTTGGTCTGATTTTCTAATCAGGCGACAACTTACCATACCGTTATCGAGGAAGACGATACGGACCCTTCGATCAGCATCTGGAGCCGCCTGTTAACGCAACTGTAACCGCCCCTACGAACTACGGTTACCATTTTCCTCACCTCGGCCCTCCCGCCGCACGGGTTTTCCTTCACTCTGCTGCTCCGGTCCCTATTGTCCTTCCCTCAAGTCTGCGCTTCTCCTCTCGGCCTTGTCATCTTCTTCTCTCGTCGCCTCCTCGTTCTCACCCTCCTCCTCCGCAGTCTGCTGCTGTGGACTCGACGGACCCGCGACGAGTCCATGCACCGAGTGTGGACTCCCATTCATCTCCGTGCGTCCGCAGCAGCTCGGTCCCTTCTTCGCGTTGATTTGTTCCGATTTTGAAACCGACAAAGTCTGAGTCCGACAAGAGAGAGGCTCGAGAGCTTCGCCCGTGGAGTATAATCTGATACTCGACCTGAGAGTCCGGGCACAAACTGGAGGCTAAGGTTCGAGAAGAAGAATTCGAGTTCCTTTTTTGAACAACACGCTTCTCTTTGAAGAATAAATTGTTAGTAGGAGCGTCGGGAGGAGACTGATTTCTGCTGACTGTCTGATTGAAGGTTTAAAATTTGACTGCAGCAGAGCAGATGCTGGAATTTCTAACTGAGCTGTGCACGTTCGTTGTTCAGGGCTCTGACTGAGCACATGCCGAGCTAACAGCAACAGCAGCACGTGACTCGAACACGATTGTGTGATCTATTTCTCCACCACTTTCGGACCGAAGAGAAGAATGCAGCGTAGCCGGTGGTGAATTGTTACAAAGATGATGAGGATCATGGGATCCAGAAAGACCTTCAATGCGGTCATTCTGATCGTATTACAAATTCTCCTGCTGCTGCCGCAATCCACCGTTTCTGGTTCGTCATCAGCTTCCTCGGCCAGTCGACCGATCTAAAATAGAATTTGCGATCGAATGCTAAAACGACCACCTGCCACTGCTGGCTGGTCAATCAACACTCCCAACTAAATCTTTCATTGATAGGTGCGCACCTATCTACGGATAGGTGCGCGTATCGATCGGTCGAGACTCTCGAGCTGAACCTGGCCTGCCGAACCTACACTCGCCGACCGAAATTCTCAAAATCGAAGTCATCCGTGAGTTGGATCTCGGGTCGTCTTACTCGTTCGGGAAAGACTAAAAAATTCGTAGTGTGAGAAAAATAATCAGCACGTCCCTTCGATGCGGAACGGAGCCATGAAATTCAGTGAATCGAGAAAAAGCTGTGCATCACATTGTGCATGTGAGGTCACTTTCGAGACAGGACCCTTCTGAATGCTAAAGGGCTCTGTCCACAACTTTCAGTGACCAGCGGGTCAGTGATTGCGTGGTCCATCGCAGCTGTTTGCGATACAGCTTTTGATTGTATCGTTATCCGGTCATCCAGCCATTAAAGCTCTGACACATTGCGAAAGGCAGAACGTGTGTCCATTTGGGCACTGTGCAATCCTCTAAACTAAAGGCAAAGTACGACGTGATGCGAGTTGCTCGCTGCTCGCTCGAACCATGCAAACTACTGAGCTTTGGGAACTGTTGGTAACAATCTCGGAGCTGTGCTTCGTGATGTCCGCGTGGCGCTTGCTAGCGAACATCGCTCACTTTCGGAGGCACATTTCGCTAATCAGCGTTCCGGACTTTAAAGACCTCGGAGTTTGCGAGCTAAGCACTCATGGCTGGCAATGGTCAACCTTGCACGGGAAGCCAACACCTTGAGGACCTCGCCAGATTGAGCTTCCCGTTGTTCGCTACACTGCTTGAGCGTTTGAAAATCTTCTGTTCCGACTGGTGTGACGATCACACCTCCAGCGGATCGAAGCCGGATTAATAATTACTGGAACATTAGTCAATGCCTTAAGGAACAGTTCTATCAGCTCTAAAATGCAAAACGAGGTTACTTTTTTCTGAGCAAGTTGGAAATTGATTTGCCTGCAGAAAATGAAGGCTACGGCGAAGAGACCTATTTTACAGAGCTGCGCAGACAGGTCAGAATCTTGGACAAAAATGGAGCTTTTCCATTCGTCAGTTTTGTGCACGTTTAGTTGAAGAAGCCTTCCACGAAACGTAGTAGATCCGAAGAGATAAGGCCTGTAGCTGGCTGCAAAGCTACAAACTAGAAACTAGAACGTGCAATTACAGTGAGTGCCCAACTTGGCGCTCAAAATCTCTGACAGAATGTCTGACCGGCTGTGCAGTACTTCATGTCACCCTTTACCAGCATCAAGAGCGGGACTCGTACCCGAACCAACCATACCATGTTACCTCTGGGCTCTACAGGCCAGTGTCATGTATCCGCTAACTCGGGCGGTTCTCTCACGACCAGACCCGAACCTTATCTTCATGGTTTGCATCTCGACTTGAAACCTTTCTTGCAGGAACACTTCCAACTCCTCTCCAGAAGTTATTAGCGGCAACAACATCGCTTAACAGGACCTAGCAGCCAGGCCTCTAGCTTCAAAAGTCATCAGGAATCTGTAGTAGGTCCTGATTAGCAAAGTGAAGGTTCAATCGATCCTTCCAAGTTGAGCACACTTCTAGTTTTACTTTACTATCTTGCTCACACGTTTCAGTCCCAGACGTAAGGAGCATCTTATGTACATCAATTTACAAAACTGAAAATAAGGGAAGCGAACTAGTGAGAACATCATTTGGAGTAAATTATAATAAGTTATAACGTACACAGAAGAGGCTCAGAATTGATTGTCGATAGCTACTCAAATTTGGTCCCACAGTCTCTGTTTCAAGTTAAAATGATATCAATTTCGTTGATGTGAACTTACTAATCGTATGTTGGAAGAGAGAATTGATGTTGACAAATTCGTTTACACGAAAATTATCGTTTGCACTGTACTCAACCTGATTTACTGCATGGATATACTACAGGACTATTCAGCAAAGTAAAGAAGTACAATTGAAACAGCACTGACATACTCATTCCAGGGTTCATAGAGTTCGATGTCAGTGAACTGATCTGAGTAATTCGTACGGTCTCATGATGTGGCAGATATCGATCCAGATAGCCCACCAACCCCTCTGAGTACAGTATTGGTATGGACTGCGCTCGAGCTTGTGCAAGCACTGCTGGCTGGCAACCCAACGATCGTTGTTGCAAGAGATATTGACGTTTCCGGTTCGTACATCACCTTGAGCTTCACTCTTCATTGCCAGCTGGCTAGCACTTGAGGGAATTAATATTCAAATTTGCAAGTGAGATTGGCATTCCTGAAACTGTATGCTCTGTGGGTGTGCAATCCACTTTAAGCTGTAAAAAGAATTTATACTGTTATTGATACGTCGTGGATTATGCAGCTCTAACTCTTGTTCGTTCACCTTGTTGATTCATGAATCCAGATTCAGTGCCTCTGCCAGAAATCACGAGCAAAGTTACGATCATGGGCAACTGCTTGGGAGGGGAACCTTGCGAGTTGGATGCTAGGTGGGTAGCAAACCACTTCGTCGTGGGATTAAGTGGGTACCTGACTCTCAAAGATATCGAGCTTCGTAATGGATATTGCACACATGGAGGAGCTGTTCTTGTGTCTGGTATCGGTGCAAATCAATTTGGTGCCGGCGGGAAGTTCGTGGCCTTCCATGTTCACTTCTTCAACAATACAGCTACTGTAAGTAGCTGAAAGCCGTATTGCAATTTTTCCTTGATACTTTTGGCATCCCTTATGTTTCTCATGCCCAAACAAAGCTCGCCAACTGGCTTTGGAACTCCTTACGAAGTTAAAGAATGAAGCTTTTGCCTCCTTCAGTCCACATTTGAATCTTAAATAAATCAGTAGTTTTTTTTTTATCATAATGAGAACTCTTCGGAAGAAAAAAAAAGAGTCCTCAATTAAATACAACAGTGGTAAGGCATAAGCAGCTGTTGTTCGAAGGACTTCAAGATCCCCACTTACATTTCTGCGATTTCGAGGGCCGGAGTCCTTCAAACTGATGGTTGCGCAGCCCAGTTAGAAAGGGGCCTCATGGACATGAACCAGCATGCGTTGGTCACCTGATATTCAAACATGTCATAATACTATGAAAGAAAAGACAACATCTGTGCGGGGATACTCACCTTATCCTTATTTATGAGGCTAAAATGCACTTGTATGTACACAGTCAATACAAATATTTGACCAAAAAGCTGCTCTTGTCGTACCAGGAAGCCGGAGGAGCTGTTGCTGTTGAAACTGGTGGCTTAGCTTACTTCCACAGCAGTCTGTTTTTGATGAATACGGTAGGAAATTCGTTCTTTGAAGTTTTCTGGTAGCGAGTTTTGGAAGTGTATCGTCCAAGTACTACCACAAGGAAGAAACTCAGATGCATAAGTTGATTTGAGAACTGCTTTTCACCGACGGACATTGCTAACAACACGTGCATGTTGAAACAGATCCATGAGATGTGGCACAAGATCTACTCATAAGTTTCAGGCTTTAATTGAGAGAAACATGAGAAGAATATAGATATAAAGTCAACGGTGTTCTTCTCTTTGACGTTTATTCTATTCGATACACAAGAGAACATGCACGTCGTAAAGTCGAGTGCGTCAATGTCAAATATTTTGACATTGATTCGATGGTTTGCCTTACAGGCTCCTTTAGGAGGAGCGATATACATAGGATCTTCCGACAGTTTCCCGATGGCAGCAAGCAGAGAGATGGAAGTGGTGCCGATGGACGTCATCCCAATGATGACACCAGGTCCATCTGCTGTGAAATTGTTGGCACCAGCGCCATCCACCATGATGATGAAGGAGCCGCAAATGATGAGCCCAATGGCGGACTCACCAGCCATGAACGCTATGACGCCAGCTCCCACGCCCATGACGCCAATGATGGTCCCCATGCCCGCAGTGATGCCTTGGCAAACTGTACCAGCTCCTGCGCCAGCTCCCATGGAGGAAGCTATGCCGGGATGCAGCCTCAGCAGTTGCGCTTCATCCGTCGACAACATATTCTTGATGAACTTTGCCAATAGAGGAGGTGCTATATATGTGGATGACACTTCTCAGAGCTGCGAAGATGATGCCACCGGTGGCGCGAAGATCGATGTTCTGAACACGCGCTTCGAAAACAACTCAGCCGTGGTACTCTATCCCCTTTCCATGGCCCTACCTTACAAGTTTAAAGTTCGGGAAGCACTGTTGGAACGAGATATTGACGATGCGTTGGTTTCAAGGAACTCGGATTCTGGAATCAAATCAATCGCATTTTCTCTCTCTCTTCACGCAAGTAGTGTGAATCTCTTTTCCAGATTAGCAAACTATTTTCCTGAGCTGCTACGTGTTCCAACATACGACAAATTCCAGTTTGAACTTTATTAAAAAAAAGAGCTGGAGCTTCGTTAGGACCCAGCAGAGTGTGTGTTTGAGCTTTTACCGACTAGCACTGACTTTACTCAACGAGTTTGGTAGAAATACAACCCTTTCGTGTAGTCGTAGCTTACGACAAAAGTACGCTAACCAGTCCCTACACGGACTTGAGAAAAAAAATGGTTGACTTTGATATACTGGAAGGGACGTGCAGCTGATCAAAGAATAAGCTTTTCCATATTCTTATGAAAATGACGCTGTCATTCGGGACGATACTTTCCCCGACAGATTTTGTGTTATCACTGACGCGGAAGCGTGCGCTCTCAGGAATCTGGAGGAGCGGTTTTCCTTGGTTGGCGTACTGCTGGTGCCGTCGGACACATAAAGAGCTCGGACTTCGTGAACAACACTGCTACGGTGGGCTTTCGATAAAATTCCTTAGTCATGTGCTGAAAAGAGCTTGCTGACTGCGCCAGACTGTTCATTGCAGGATCCCTGTATCAAGCAGCTGTATGAAGGAGATAAGATAAACAATCTATTAAGCTCTACGCTGTTATCAGGTCCCAGGAACGAATGCTGATGAGAGAGTCGGTGTTTGCTGGAATGGGATACATCTAGCGCATACAAAAACAAACTAATGAGTCACTCGGAAGGCTGATAGGAAGGTTAGGAAGTGATTTTTATGACTCGGCAAATCGTTATGCTTAAACTGTCGTGCAACTGTGCAGGATGCTGGAGGAGACATTACGTTGGACAAGGCCCTGTTCAATGACACTAGGGGAGTTGAACTTCTGGCTTATGACACCCAATTTTCAGGAATGGTGTTGGGCCCGGATGGAGAACCAGTAAGTTTATCTCAAACCTACTTCGACCTACAAGGCGGAATGACACCACATCAAATCAGCAATAAGAACTACGACGAATGCATTTTCATTTAGGACAGACTCAATATAAGTTGAAACTGCATCAATGGCCTGTCCTTCAAGAGTCGAGATTACTCCACAGTGCATTTTGATGCTACAACCCAACAAATTCACTGTGCTCAAAATGCCCATATAATTCTTACAGGGGATTTTGAGTTCCTAGAGATTTCGCATACCAGAGTTGGAACTTCTCAAACTAATACTGTAAAATCCGTATGGTGTAATTGATAGGTTTCTCAATCTGTGGATGTCCAAGCACTCGCAAATGCCACTTTCAGTCGCTGCTCTTTCCCGGTATGACTTGATTGCAAACCTCTTAGCATCAAAATGCTCGTCTGCGAAAATGTTTATTTTCTGAAAAACGTAAGGAGTTGGCAGAAACTAAATATAAAATTTTTCTTGCTTAGCCTCGTTGAAAATAGGAGAATGTGATTTTGAAACTTTGACTCACTATCCTGCAGACGGCCAAGAACCCAGTTCTGTGCGGAGGTAGCTCATGTGACTTCTGCCCCAGCAAAGGTGGCATGGTAAGCTGGAACGTTGACCTTCAATCGATGACAAAACCTGAAGAAACATACCAACTAATCATCACTGGCAATCAATAAAGAACTCTTCCCTTTGGAACCTTTAGCAAGCCTACCACTAATTAATTACGGAGGTCCGGTGATCAAGTGAAGGAAAGCACAATGACTGATTCACTTATATAATTACAGATGAGTCCTCCAGCAATGGGACCCGCAATGGAACCCATGCCAATGGAAGAGTTTATCCCATTTCCAGAGCCAGGAGGGCCGATGCCTGCGGGCGCAAAGGCCCATGTAGCCCTGCCAGGGTCTTTAAAATACGAGATTTCACTACAGGAAGGTATGAGCCTCAGAAGTAGATGTAACAAACCCCCTCAACCGAAAGCACATTGCATACCTTCATCGAAAGGAAAGTGGGGGCTAAGTAGATAACAAAATTGTTAATACCTATATTGAAATGGCGCCTGCGCCGCCTGTGGCTGAAAATTAAGAAGTATGATTTCTACGTTGCTCCTGGAATCGAGATTACCTTTGGTCTAAAGCATGGGTGGTTTTTATCAAAGATATTCGAAGCTGGACAACGAGATATGTCATATCTGATGCATCTAACCATGGGGACATTCATAACCGACAGAGCTGCTTGGCTCTCAATGCAGGCAAAATTGTGAAGCGATCGTATGCGCCGCTGGGTCATTTGGATACGGAGTGTCCAGTTCCTCCATCTGGACTCTGCGGTTGGACACCGCAAGAGTGCCTGGCCTCTCCACCTCCGCCGCCTAGCCCTCCCCCGCCGCCGTCACCCCCTCCTCCATCACCCCCACCACCCAGTCCTCCGCCACCGTCACCACCTCCGCCCAGTCCTCCTCCGCCATCACCACCTCCGCCTCACTATCACACAAGGTCGCCTCCTCCACCATCGCCTCCCCCTCCACCAAGTCCTCCTCCTCCTCCTCCTCCATCTCCTCCTCCACCCAGCCCACCGCCTCCAAGTCCACCACCTCCGAGCCCTCCCCCTCCACATTCACCACCGCCGCCCAGTCCTCCTCCTCCACATTCCCCTCCACCTCCGAGTCCTCCACCTCCCAGCCCTCCACCTCCGAGTCCTCCACCTCCCAGCCCTCCGCCACCGAGTCCTCCACCTCCCAGTCCTCCTCCTCCACCCAGTCCCCCACCTCCCCCTCCTCCATCACCACCTCCGCCTCCACCTTTCCGTCCGTGCATCAATGGCCAATGTCCTCCTTGTCCGGCCAGACGACCTCACAAAGGTAGCATCAAGGGCGATCCCCATTTCATCGGTAAACATGGAGAGCGTTTCGACTTCCAGGGTAGTAGCGGCCATGATTACTGTGTGGTCTCTGACAGGAACATTCACGTCAACATGCATGTCTTCCCAGGAATCAAAAGAGGAACAACGGTAAAGCTCCTTGCCAGGCCTTTTCTCGCCCTTGTTTCTTGGCGTCAGATTTTTTAAGTGTAAATCTTACAATCAGCAGTAGTAGTATACAGGACTAGAGAACTGTACAGTGCGTTCGTGAGTCGATCGTACGCCCGAATAAATCTTCCTGACCTGTTAATCATATTCCTGACCTGACTCTAGAGTTCCACGATTTAGATAATTTCATGTCTTGTCCTGACCTACATGCGAGACCTTTGTAAAGAGTTCAAAATTCCGTCAAAGTATGCTTCGTTTCTAGAACCTGTTGTTCAGGAGTATGTAGCAGTTAGTAATGAATATCAGCCTGTAGGTCGGCATTGGCAGATTAGAAAGAACAACCTTCTTCTCAGCTGCAGTAAATTCTCATCAATTCAGTAGTCAGTATCAGTTAGGTTGCAAGGCCACAACATAATATGAATCATAGGGCGAAAACACTTGCATACTGAAGACGAGCTTAACCTGCAACCCGTTCACTCATGGGGTTGTCTGTGATGTTGCAGTTTATATCAGAGATCGGGTTTTTGTATAAAGACTCAGAGATCTTCATTGACGCACATGCGCGTACGAATGCCAGCTACTTTTCTAAGCAATGGTCGATGTTGGTGGACGATGTAAGACACTAAACTTTTCACGTCAGAAGCGACATTCTATCAAACCAGTCACGAAGTGTTCCACTGTACATATGGTTGGAGGTTATGTGCTAACGAGGCTTCAGTCTAACAACGCTATGAGATCGAAGATTGTAAATGGCCAGTAAATTATGGGCTCATGAACTGTCACCTTCGGCACTGCTGTTATGTTTCAAAGATTACACCGTGACCTTATCTGACGCACAATGCTGGACTTGACACAGGTTGAGATAGCCGAAAATGGATATGTGTCTACGAAAGATGGACTTACAGTACACCGTTCAGCTCGAGGAGCCCGCATTACAGTTCCTGGAGAGCTAGATGTGAACGTGACCATAGTGGCGCCTTCATACGGTCCACGCGGATCTGGAGCCAACTCTGTACTGTCTTACCCCTTCCATCTTTCTGTAAAGTCACTCAAGGCGATTGCAGTTCCGAGGAGTAACTTTACACTTCATTTCTCATAACTCTATATGAGAAATTCGGACACAGCTGAAGAGACAGTATCAAATTTGATCAGTAGAATGCGGGGAGTGTGAACACTGTAGATATTTTCGTTATTTTTGCGTTCCTTGCCTTGATGCTGATAATCTGTGAATATTTGATGACCATCCTACAGATCAACTTCAAGGTGGATAAGATGAAAGTAACGCCATCAGTACATGGTGTACTAGGTAAATTTAACAAAATCCTATACGTTAAAAGTTTCTTCATGAGCTTATGTGTATTGTCACTTCAGGTTACTCAATATCGTTATGGCTGTTTATCAGTGCTCGTATATTTCTTTTGAAAACTGAAATCTGATTTTCGTGCGAATACTCTTCAGGTCAAACGTATCAAGAAACGAAACAAACCTACAAGAAGCTCCATGATGCGAGAGGGAAACATGGTCACAAAGCATCCGAAGCTCTGGTTGATGGCAACATGGAGGACTATCTCACCAGCGATATCTTGACCCCAGACTGCAAATATACTCAGTTTGAGGTAACTTCTTCCCACGATTTTCAAAGCTCGTTCTTTGGATGAAATGAACCTGAAGCTCGCTTTCAGTCCAGATCATGTAGACATATGCATTCAAACAGTGGTTCCGAATTCATGGCTAAACTGTCACCGTACCCCAAATCAGACGATACCTACTGAGGATTCAAAGCTTAGTTAGATTTGAGGTGGAGCACTGACTCGCTTCAAATTTCGAGTGGGACTGATTGAATGATTGAATTAAGCTCAGACAACGTTGGTGGGATCGCAGGGACGCAAGAACATAGTGAAGAGGATACACAGGGTTCTGATGAGTACAGCTGGAGTTATTTTCTCTTCAGATGCTGGACAAGAGGAAATCGTTGACAGTTGTACTGGTTTTGGTCATGAACTGGATTGCAAGATGGATCTTGACTTCTAAGCCATTTCATAAGTCGGCAATGGTTGATTGCTATATTGCTGGACCGACACGGAGAAATATTTTGTCTTTTGCAGCATCATGGGAGGTTATGCCAAGATGCTTGAGGCTGCAACATGTACATCTACCCCACTAACCCTGGGGTCTATGTCTGTATGTTAGACGTAGTTCGTAGTTTATGTACTGGTACAGTACATGTTTGTGTACGATGAGGTTTTGTACGGTTATATTGATAGCTCTAGACAACTTTTAGACTTTTAGGTCTTTCGATTCTGACTTCTTTCCGTCCTAATTTCCTCCTTAATTAATCTGCCAAGTAAACTCTGACGGTCATGTACATGCAAGCACAGACCGGTGACACTTGTCATTGTACTTTGTACCTTTTCTTTCATGAATACAAAGTGGTTTTGATTCAGCTTGCTGGTACTTGGCTGATGGTCGGTGAGAACTGTTCAGTTCATCCAAATATCCGGCAAAAAACAGCTAGTCGTTTGATAGGAGAGAAGATTGATAAACATCATGCTTTTGATTAGAACTGTATTATTATAGGAAAAAATGTATCAAGATGTAATATTGTACATGAAAGTTAACAACCTCCCCATGGACGCTTCACCGAGGGAACGTCTGGATCCCCTGTCAACTGTCGTCAAGCGTTGCAAACGGTAAGCAGCCACTCTTGAAAGAAGTCACCGCAGCTTTCGCGATTCTTCCTTGGGAACGAGCACAAGCTCTGTGAGATCGTCAGATCCGGCTTGGCAGTGTCTGATAGTTTTGAACAACCTCTATTTCCTGAATATATCCCGACACAGACAGAGTGGTATTCAGGTAATTTATTTGATCCTGAACGGTCTAAGTTAAAATGCGTCCCCCAAAGATATTATTACAACGGCTTTTCAAAAATGCGTGGACACAGAACACCTGGGTCAAGAAATGGTGTGGAAACAAGTACTTGAAGATGCTCATGACTATATATGTTTTGCACCGACCACCATCAACAGTTAAAGCTAAAAGACAAAGGCGTTTATACTGTACCGAGGGACAGGTAGTGCATCATACTGCGAAGAGTACCAACGATGATTGACTGGCCCATTTTGGAAAAAAGTTCCTGTCATCTCCTTTACAACAGATTCGACGTTCACTAAGATTGTCCTTCAAAGGCAACTGTATATTTATCAGCGATAGGTGCTGAATATGTACAAGGTCCAATATAAGTGATATACCGTGGTCTGTGTATTCTTCTAAAGGTGTGCTTGACTTCGGATGATCCTTATGCTGATCTCCGACTCCTACGCTATTTCGTAAATACACACATCGTTCAAGACAACGAACGTACTCAAGCTCGTCGCATCACGATGTTGCTCATGTGTTTCCGACTAGGGGCAACATAAGCGAACCCATGATGAAGCATACCATCGTGCTGTCGGGCGTAGGCATAGACCAGATCCATGCTATTCTTCAAACCAGAGAGAAGTAAACCTATCCCGACATCACACAACCTACCCATCGGGTTGTCCGGCGAAGAAGTAAACTACATCAAATTAATTCTCTATAGCGAAAATTGTACTACTCCGACCTCGAAGAACTCTAACCTGAAAAGACCCTATGAACTCTATACACCTACGACGAAGTCAAGCATCAAAAAGACCAAATATCTCTGTTCGTGGAACAGTAAATACAACCTCTTCGTTGGATCATACCTGCCCCAAAGTGCCATCAACACCAAATGTAAGCGCTTCGATTTGCAATAGATCTTGCCCACACTGGCAGAGCGATACATACAAAACAATGCCTCGGAAAGGCTTCTGCATTTTATTGAATGATTGTTCCCATAGAGTAGATAAAAGTTTCAGTTAACTCACAGACAATCTGAGCTTCGGTCGCACCGAGAAAGAACCCGGGGTATTTTGCGCGAACTGGTACCTGTTCCCACAAGTAATAAATGGTCAGCTTTCTTCCACTTCGGAATTTCTCGATGGAACGTTCTCAGTTTTACAGTTCAGCTGGTTTAAATCTCCGAGCCATCGACTTTTGCTACTCTACTCCAAAAACACACTTCCCGCTCCCAGGGTTTCGATCCTCATCTTAGGACGTACACTAGGGTCTAGAGGTAGTGAATAGAATCTGTATGGTCATGAAACGTACCCGTTGGTGAGGAGGAAATTCTTCACTGCAAATGGAATTGTAGGGCCTCCTTGGCTATGAACACCGACTCCTGCAGATTGATCACAAGAGTGTTAATATTGTGACGGAGCACAAGGCTTCCAGAATGACAGGACCGTAACAATTAAACTTTGCAGAGCCAATATACCACGTAGAATTTCCTTCTTAAGCGAAATGAGAAGAACTCACCAGTGATTACTACGAGCTCCCGAGGGGCCGTGATCAAACTTTGAGTATGCTTGTGTTTCAAAACGTCCTGCTGGGCTCTTAAATTCGAAGTTTCGCCCACTTCATGTTCGATTTGTGGTACAAAAATTCCATCCCTCGTATTTGTCTGGCCAGAAGAAAGAATCTCTGATTCAATGTAGATCAGCCGGTTCTCCAGTGCTGCCACAGCTTCGCCTGTGTGCAGCCCATGCAAGTCGATGTGCCAAATATTTCTGCTGGCGTCGTTGTTTCTCTGGTTGAGAATTTCATGAGCAGCTTCCGCATTCAGTCTTTCAGCAAGTAGTCGCCTCTCTTGGGCTTGTTTGGACATAGTCTTTGCCCTCCTATGATCGCCTCGAATGTAGGCCTGTGAAGCTCCACGAGCGAATCTATCTCTCTCCCTGTAGAGTTACAACAACAGCCGCCAAGTCAAACGGGAACAAACTTCAGTATCAGATGTGCAGGATGATAAAGTGTGATCACTAAGGTTCCCAAGTTGGATCTGCTTCGACAATGAAGAATCTGTCAGACAACCTTCCAAACTACCGCTACTGGACAAAGAGCTGACTAACTGTTCATTTGGTTGATTTGAGTCCAGGCATCAGTGCTTGAGTCCCTGTTGATCCCTTAGCAACAGCCATCTGGGTCGTGTAGAGTTGGTCTCGGGAATTTTGAGACCTGGGTTGAAAAGCATTGACCATACCTGGCAGTTCGGAGGGCATCCGAGCGGTAACGAAGGTAGAGGTCATCCTCCTCCCATTCTGGTTCCATGGGGACGTAGAAAGCACTGCTCGCAGCCGTGGAGTCGCCACCATCTCTACCATGATCGTAGGCGAGAGCACCGGCTTCACCATTAGCGTCCCTCTCTGCGTCGCCGGTGGAAGACCTACAGTCGGAAACAGAGGGCCTTTCAGGTTCTCTATTCTCCGGAGCAACCGCAGTATCTCGATTCTCATTTCTCCCGCCCAAATCTCGATGGTGAAAATGGCCCTCGATATTGTGATCCAAAGCATTGCTGTGATCCCTCAAAACACTCGGCTCGGCCTCTCCGGCCCCGCCCAGCTGCGGCAGGGCCTGATCGTAAGACCCTCTTTTCACCGCAGGAACGAAAGGTGCAGCGTCCGCCGAGAGCTCCAAGGCCCGCTCGTGTTTAGAAGCCCCTGCCTCTTTCCCGCTGTGCTGCAAAACCTGATTGCTCACAACGATTCCCGAGCTGCTCGGAAAGCCAGACCCGAAAGGCCCCGGACTCAGCCCGGGGCCAGCACCAGCACCCGCTGGTTGAACCCGATTGTTGTGCGAAGCTGCGGACGAAGCTGGTGGGGATCTCGCAGACTGCCCGTGCTGATAATAATTCCCTGCAGTAGACCCGGCGGCAGCTGCTGCTGCTCCTGCACCTCCAGCACCCTGTTGACGAGGATGCCCATTTGGGCCGAAAGAATTCGAAGCGAACGAATCAGAGGACGAAGAAGACGAATCCGACCCACCGTACCCGACTCTCCGAATCCGCCGCTCGTCCGTCTCACCCACCACGACTCCTCCGTCCGCCTCGACGCCTCCTCCGGCACCGCGCCCATTGCTGGAGTAAGCGAGGCCATTTTGAATCGAGGTCGCGCCACCGGGAACAGAATTCCGACCCTGCAAATTGGAAGAGAACGAACTCGCGGACGACAAACCACCACCCCCGCTGTGCTGCGGCCGGTGAAAATCGTCCCCGAAGATTGGAGACGCCAACAGAGTATTAAACGGCCTCGAATTCTTCGAACTCTTGCTGGAAAAGCTGCACGTGGCCAGCGGTGGGAATGGATCGCGAGGAGGCGAGGAAGTTGGCGGATTGCGATGCAGTCTCGTCAACGAGGACCAACCTTGTACCTTCGACCTCCCTCCTCCTCCTCCTCCTCCTCTCCCTCCAGCAGAGGCAACCGCAGCGGCAGATGCAGCAGACGAATGTTGCTGCTGCTGCTGCTGCTGCTGCTTTCCTCCTCCTCTGCCCGGGGCCCCATGGCTCCCATCACCACCACCTCCTCCTCCTCCTCCCCCTGCACTACCATAGCCACCGAGCTCCTCCATAGTTCTGTCCTCTCAAACCCAACGTTCGTCAAAGCTCTCCGTCCTACGCAACACGGCCTTGCCCTTTCTCCTACCCTTGAAGCTCCGGTAATCCCAGGCGCTAACTTCGCATCGGACGGCGGCCCGTCCACCGGGGGCGAATCCGACGGCCCACATCTGCGCGTATTACGACTAACCCGCTGTCATTACTGCAAATCTCCATACTCGTAAAGTATGTCACTAATTGTACACTCTGTTCGGCACTGGTAACCGGGTGCCGCGCTCTGTTCACCAGGCGCCATTAATCCCATTCTTGATCACTATTCGACGGGCCCGATCGCGTCCTCCGACCTTGGAAGGCTCAGATCCCGTCTCATTAGCATCCTTAACGCTGGGATTAATTCGGTAAATTTCGCCCCTGGCTTCGCAATCCGCCCTCGCAGTGCTGCTCCTCCTCCTCCTGCTGTCCGTTGGACGTCGAAGCCAGGCTCCAATGTTCCCAGGCTCCCAGGCTCCCGTGCAATCAACGCCGACTCGGACACCCGTCCCGGGCAGCGAATTAGGAACGACAACTGGACATTGGCAACCCAGTTCGCGCCCGGGTCCGCGGCCGCAGCCCTCCGCCCTCTACCCTTGTCCGATTGGGCTCCGATCGAGCTTCAGGTGCCGAGCTGCTCTGAGTGATCAGGCCAGTGTCTGTCTGATTAGGGCTGGGCGGCGGTTAGCTGGATTCATTCAGGGACGGAAACTTAAAGTGCGGTGCGCGTTTTTTGGTTTTTTATTTTTAACATTGGCTGGAAATTGAGGGATTTGCCCTTTCCGCCGAAATTCACAGCTTTGCCTTTTTTTTTCTCGACTCGCTGAAGTGAGCGCCACATTCGAGTGCGAGTGCGAAGTCTCGAGCTGCTTCCGTTCTGTGAATGACGTAGCTTTGAAGCTGCTGTGAACTCTTCTAGCTCTGGACTCTGGAGTGCTGGTCTCCGTAACTCGCATGGGTAAGTGAGAGTTCTTCTCTCTCACTTGTGGGTGAACTTCTCGTCGGACAGGATGGTGAACCATTAGTTAATGTGCGTAAATGGCGCTCGCGTCGCTGGTCAGTGAGTGAAAGTAAATCATTATTTTAAAGGAACGGACGAGGTGCTATCGTCTACGTTTAAACTGGGAGGCTTTACAGTCCGAAGAATCACGAGGAGCGTATCGAAGTTCGATGGTGAATGACAAATTACGATTAATATATCCCAGGGACATGTAATCTTCAGAAAACCTCGAGCTTACCATGTCTCAACCGGACCACGTGTTGTCAATCTTCAAAATGAATGTCAGGGTTTAGGGTTTTAGGCATTGCACATCAGTACCCCCTGGATATCACACTTTCGGACGGTGCTGGTGGATAACAACATTCTCCTGAATTACGAACTTAACGGATTCCCCTGTAAGAATAATGATTCGGGTGTCTGGAACCGGAGTTTAATGTCGAGTCTTTCTCGGAGGGAATTTCACAGACCGGGGAGTCAAGGTTTTTTGCGACGAGGACTGACTGACCTCTGAATTGTGAGCATGTTCCTAATAAGACGTCCACATTGCTCTGAATGTAGACTTACGTCCATGAATTGATCGGAAGTCCGCCCACAATTTGAAAGCATGGACGACGAGGACGGTTCCGACTATGGCGACGAACCGATGGAGTTGGAGGAAGAGGTTCGTCTGGAGCGTGGAGATCCTGAAGATGAAGAAATGGAGACGGAACTGTCAAATGTACCCGCAGCGACTTTGGCCCTAGGTACGAGATGACTGCCCAAACATTTTGAGACTGTGAGCACCATGAAGGCGTGCCGTAGTAACATTTCTGTCGATGTGTTCCTCGTCCGCGATGCGATTGTCAGTTTTTTTCCACCTGATTTCAGTAAGTAATTTGGTTTGGCTACGCTAATGCTTCAACATTCATTTGTTGAATTGCTGATTCTCGTGGAATTGTTGGGTATCTTTTGTAGATATTTTGAATGACGAAACGACAAGACTGGCAGCTGGACTTGCATCTCAAGATGGAGACTTATTGGCAGCAATTGCAGCCATGCAAAAAGCAGTAACGGGAAAAGACGGAGAAAACGTCCTAGTCTCATACGTTCTGGCATCACCACAATGTGTAGAGCTTATGAATATATGGCAGGCGGGCTCAGGTTCTGCAACCGCTGTTCCACTTATGCAACTCCTCTATCATATGTTCAGACACACTCTAGGAAAAGTAGATGGGTATGTGGTGAACAGAGATAGCGATTCGCAGAGGAGGTTCATGATCGTGAATTTAAGACTTGACAAACTAGCTCGATCTATTGTACGCAACCGGATGAAGGATATATACTCACACTTGTCATCAAGCCAGAGAAGTAGACAAAATGCAGGCTTGCTGCTCCTGTCAGCCATGGTGCTTCGAGGTAGAACCCTTGGTACTGAGATTGCGACAACATTTGATTTTACTCTCGAAGCTTTGAAGAAGTTAGCGCGTTCTTCAAAGAATCAAAAGTCTGATTTTCAGCATGATATGATGTTCAAGCGCCCCACAAGGTATGCTTTGGTGGAATTCGCCATGTCTTTCTTGGAAGTTGGAGATCCTGGTTTACTGAGATGGATCCTTCAAAAGAGACCTCTTTATGCTGGAGTTCTGCACGGTATCTCCAAAGATCCTGAAACTATGATGGTGAAGGTGCTGGTTCTCCTTCAGGAAAAGGTTATGGATCCGCAGTTCATGGTTCCTCGTGGCCTTCAGAGCGTGCTGTTTGGAGATGCCACTCTCGAGCAGTTGGCACGCATCAGTGCTGATAAAACGCTAGAGTTGGCCAACGAATTTGCACACGACATTCTCTTGGAGCTATGCACAGACCCTTCTCATGGCCTTTGTCCAGAAAGTACTGAAGTTTGGGAGGCTCAGCCGGGGCAAACTGGGGCATTTGGAGGTGGGCAGGCTAGATTGCTTCGACTTATGAATCGCTTGAAAGTTACCGAGGTGGACAAACACAGGGATCTCTTGTTGGCTACCGGGCGAGCGAGGCCGAAGTTTGCAGCAGCCTATCTGGCTTCCATCCCATTAAGTCTGGAGCCTCGAGTTTCACGTGTTTGGTGGGCATTGACTTCACTTATATTATTCTAGCACCTTATGGCGGATCTCCTTCTTGCTTGACCTGAAGTCCTTCCGTAACTCATGTCAGTCAGTACTCAGATAAAAGTACCCTTAGCTTCGTTCTGTTGTCCTAACTCTGAAGTACAACTCATTCGTCAATTTGATCTTTTTTCAGGTTCAAAGCCATGTCTCTCGTTGCAGTGCTGATTCCCTTAGCGAGTCAGACCTCTCCTTTCGCATCTCTTGTTGGTCAGGGTCTCACGGCACCTCCACATGACGGCCCCTTAATTCGCAGCGCAATTTTAAGCTTATTACCTGCTTCCCTCTCCCGGCTGGCTCTCAATAGGGGTCTTCAACATGCTGATATCATGGTTAAGCATGCATGCTTGCGAGTGCTATATGAAGCCTTGATGGCGCTGAAACGGTTGCTCGAATCCTTGGATGTGGCGGCTGCTGCTGCTGCTACATATTCTGAGCCCATTCGAGGACCTCCAGGAATCAGTTGTACCGCGATGGAGATAAATGTTACTGCTGAAAGAGAAAGCCGTGGAGAGCCTCAAAAGGAACAGTGGCTGAAGTTATCACACTCCATTCAGGATACTATGCGTGCATATCTTCCGGACCCGAATGTTCTTTTTGGTATATTACCTTCTTTGAAAACTTCCCTAGTCTCAACGAAGATTGGAGTTGCATCCCTGTCCGATGAAGGAGCGCAAGTATCCGTAAAAAAGAGGAAGAGGACCGACTTAGGTACGGCAGATGGATCAAACGAGCAGCAAATTGCTTTAATCGATAATTACGATTATGAAGCAACCATCATCGAGCTGTGGGGATCTGATGCCATAGTTGATGCTGGCCGGAGAGAAAGTAGCGAGGTTTTGCTTCATTCCAAAGTGGTGGAAGTGTTGGCTTCTTTTCAGGTGATAATTGCGCATCAGTGTATCGTGTCTCAGAGGTGTATTTCTTGTTTAAGTCGCCTTGACGTTTGTATATTGTCATAACTAGTAGTGAGTAAAGCACAGTCTATTATCTACATTCTAAGTGTATCCTTTTTGTACTCACAGACGGTGCTACCTATTGCGTTGGCGGATACTGGCTTTGACGCCTTCAAGCTGTTGCCAGAGAACCCTGTTGCCATGCCTGTCGTCCAACAGAAGGCACTTACTTCTCTCCTTCTAGCTGTCACAGGGAGTTCTAGCACTTCCTCTTCAGAAAAAGCAGTTCGGTTTGTCGGAGAGTTCGCAGGTGTGGGCTCGGCTCATAAGAGGTTAAAACCTTTGTTATTGCTAATGCTGAGTACAGATTTGAAAGATGTGAGTGAGGCTGCATACCTCATCATTCACAGAATTATGGTCAGTACTGGAGCATTCGGTATGAATCTCGGGGAGGTTAGGCTTTGGCTTGACGCTTTGGTAGGTTGGAAGTTCGACAAATTTCAAGAACCACAGGCTACCGGAGAAAGAACGGAGCTTGATCTTAGAAACAATCTGACTTCCGATACCGTACACGGAAGCCTTATAGATTTTCTGGCTGAAGCTGTCGGGAGTATCAGTCAGAGTATTTACAAATATCTGGAAAGGCTGCACTCTACACTATCCACGTTGATGCTTGAGAGTGATGTGGGTCACACAACTTCGATCGATATGGTGTCTAAAGGTAAATTCTGATTCAGCTTGAATCTTCCGTGCCCAAAAAGAGATAATGGAAGATTTGTCTATGTCAAGAGCAGGTATTTAGATATTACAGTACTGTATGAGCCATCATCAGCGTCGGAAGAATGAATTTTTCTTGTGGAGCTTCAAAAGTATGGGTACAGGGGGTTAAACCGTGATCATTTGTTGTCAAATTTTGCTGGTTATGCAGATGTCTATGTGCCTGAGTTTGGGCCCTTCGTCATTTGTTCCCTCGAGACCTGCTTCAGATCAGCCAAGAGCAAGACTGTGCCTCAGAGGGCAGCGATTGCAACATATGTGGCAAATGCGCTTTACATGTTACTGAAGTACCAGGTTAGCACCTTCTCCACCCGGGGTTCTTTTCATCTTCTGGACCTTTAAGGGTTGTGATGAAGAGCTATCGCCTTTGATCTATTTGTATCACTAGAGATCTAAGCGTCATGAACAAACGCTGTTACACGTACATGTAAAACGATTGAGCTTTGTTTGTGTGCTGATCATGACTGTGACAAGAAACAGTGAAGGCTTCCTAGTTACGAGGCTCCTGACGATTGTGAGTATCGACGCTAATATTGTACATTTGTCTGTTGCATTTGGAATTTGCAGGTGCACCCTCAGGCCTTGGCAGCGGTTGTAAGCACAGAGCTCTCTACCGGATTTACAACATATGCACAACAACTGAAGGAGACGGCAAATCTTCAGTTGTTCGAATGGTCTTCTCTTTATTTTCTCCTCCAGCAATCTGCCCAGCTTCTACCATCCTGTGATATCGCACAGATTAGTGGCTCCAGCAGACTCAACGGTGTCGATCAAGCCCAAAACCCTGATGAGGAGAAACTTCTGGCTGTACTCAAGGCTTGTAAGAGGCAAAAGGACGTAGCTATAGAAACAAGACTAGAAACTGTAAGATCTGTGCTTCTTACCACTCCTGTCAAAGAGGTGGTTGAGACTTTTCCTCTACTAATGAGGGTTTGCGCGGATATTTTCAATGGAGATAGCTCCACGCTAGTCGCCCTTCTCGGTGTACACCAAAGCCTTCTTTCCGACGTCTCAACGGCCTGGCCTGAATTATTTGCGTTAGCGATGGAGCAAGCAGGGGCTATCAAGGACATGGATGGAGAAACCGTGGATATTATTGATCCGACGGCTTCAACTTTGAAGTCTGTACATTCAAGCAAAGGGTCTGAAGCAGTTGGGCTATGTTCCTTGTTGTTGAGGTGTCCATTCCCAGTGCTGTTCTCAGCTGCCGTTTACGGTAATAACGGAATGCTGCTGAGGAATCATGCTTTCACCCAAATTTTACTCAGATCGTCTTCCAAAGTATCCCACTCCAGTTGGTTACATGCTGTAAGATTGGTGGTTTCTGGAGTGAAGCATGTAGTCGGCATACCTACAGAAGGAGCATCACCGTTGGATGTTTGCTTTTCTCTCCTGTGTAGCTTAATCTCACCTACACATCTGAAGTCGGTCGGTGACCATTTGACGAGTTTAGCAGGCGCAGATGATGGTGACACTATGAGAGATTATCAAAATATGATTATTGATCTTCTCCATCATCCAGCACTGTACACATATTTTCTAGATTCCAATATCTTGTCCACAGCTTCTTGTCCGCTTGTGAGTGGTCTGAGGCGAGACAACAAAGATGAAAAGTTATGTGACACGAGTTTGAGACGCGTTCTAGCTTCCGCTGCTTCCAGCGTGAATGCTTTTGACGGGCACATTCTAGTACTGCTAACACGACTTTTGGAGTCAATCCAAACCCTTGGTGAGAGTGCCATTTTCCTACCTTTAGTTGACCAGGTCCGAACTCTTCAAGATCTTGTTTTTGAAGCTTGTGGATCCTTCGTTCGCAAGGCAGTGAGCATTTTTCGAAAGGAAATGGAGGAGAATCTCAGCGTTGGCGTGGTTGCATCACCATCTCTGTTCGCCGTATCTGTTCTCATTCCATATGCAGATGTACCCTCGACCGTCGATTTCTTGTTATCTTTACTCTTAGTAGGAAGCAATAAGTTCAAGAAGTCGAAGCAAGCAGTTGCTCCTCATGTTCTTGGGCTGCATTTGGCCACTGTGTTCATTGATTCATTGTCAGAGGTTAGTGGGAGACAAAGGTTTCAAACGGGTCACCCCGAGAGTTGGAATTGTGGACATCAGTTTGCGGAAGAGTCGGACTCGCAGCTTATTTTTGATTTGTTTGAAAGGGTGTTAGAGCAGGTCATCAGTTTTCCTTCAGTGATGGCTGACTTGTGCTTGCTTTCGTTCTTGCAAGCTCTCGATCCAAAGTCGGCTGTCTCTAAGAGGTCGGAAGAATTTTATCTTAGGTTTGATAAAACGAGGTTCGCAGATCTGGCGCGGTGTACTCCATTAGCGGTTCTCAGGCACTGCGTAATGCACCCAAACAAAGTCACAGGCACCATTGCCAAACTGTTAGTAGAATCCAGCTCTGTGCATTTGTCGGAGTTTGGTCGGTTGATTGTCCATGGGACTGCTAACAAAAATCAGAGTATTCTTTCCGGCCTTCGGCTCAGTTTCGCGGATAGGATGCTCGTCTCTTGTGAGAAAACTCAAAGTCTCGACTTGGCTTTATCAGATGAGGATCTTTTCTCCCTTCTACCCGCTGTTAAGGTCTACTTTGACGTAAAATCAGTGAAAGGAAGGGATGAAGACAAAGAAGTTGTGACACATATAGCAGGGGTATATGGCAGGTATCTTAGCAAACTGCTAAAGAGTTGGGACGAACTTGTGGCCAAGGAGGCCGTAGTTGAGTGGTATGTTAGCAATCGTTCGCCGGGTACCTTGTCTGGCGCATACTTCCATTCATCTGGAAGTATGGACGATTATTGTTCTTACTCCCCTCTAGGACAGGTGGTCCGTATTCTGGAGCATTGCCAGTCTTTCGATCCGCGGAGTAACAAAAAGCGGGACAGAGTTTTCAAGTCTCTACTGAGTGAAGAGAATTCGTCCTTGATTCCGTTCAGCATCCCAAAATCTGCTGACGAAGACACTCGTCAGATGGTGTGCGAGGCGGTTGCAAAGGTTCATATTCTGAGGCATTTATTGGATTCTAGTTCGAAAGTCGAATTTAGTGACCGTGAAGAAAGCCAGTCAATTGTAAAGGACAAAGTAAAGTCGGTTGATGGTGCTAAGTTGGACGGTCGGAATGACAACATGGCCATTCAGAGGTTTTTATCATGTTTGGTTTACACTCTGGGTGCTCTTTTTAAGTCTGGTGGTATGGACAGGAAAGAAGAGTCGGCTAGTGTTTCATCTGTACTCCAAGCCGGCCCAAAGAGAGGCCATTGGCTACTCTTCTTGGAACAATTCTTGCTACTTCAAGTTATTCAAACTGCTGAGCAACTGTTGGAGCTTTCTGTGGATCTTAGTAGTTACATCCCGATGTACAGATACTCGCTTGCCACACTCCTAGGCTATAGATATGCTATACCTTCTGCCATGAAGGCTGCTCGATACCTCACAATGGTGTATTTGGATTGCCTGCAAGTAAAGAACGTTGAAGGGCAAACGGTAGATGTAAATGCACTGGAACTCCTTATTTCTCATTCAAGGTTTCTTCCTTCCATGCTAGCTTGGAATCCCAAAAGGATGCAGATTCCTCATCTTTCTGGTAAGCATGCTGGCAAAGGTACGGCTTTAAACTCCCTAACCTCAGTCCTATTATTGGTTGGATCACCTCTTGTCGACCATGTGGAAGAGGAGGGAATTGAATCCTCAGACGAACCTGCAGCTTCATTAGACGTCACTGTCAAGATGCAGCCTCAAAATCAGCTGAAGGATGTCAGGAGTGATGAGGAAGATCAGAAAAAGATGGAATTGGTGAAATTGCTCAGAGTCTTCGTGGCGCTGAGACTGAAGCAATGCAACCTTGATATGACAAGTTCTGAATCCGTACCTCTTGAGCAGATTCTGTCCGTACTACTGGCTGCATATGGGGGAACTATGAGTGAGCTGGATCAGGAGCTTTTGACGTTGATGCACGAAATTGAGTCACAAGGAGGACCAGGTTTTTCAGGGCTGTCAGGGCTAGATTACCTCTGGGGTGAGGCAGCACTGAAACGGAGGAAGTCAAAGTCCGCACAATTGTTGTCTTTGAAAAGTGGACTGGACGAGGCAGATGGTTTGAGCGAGATCCGCAGACAAACCTTCAAGGAAGATCTTGTCATCGACCCACGACGATGTGGACTGACTGTGCTCTTTTTCCCTCCCAGGAGGCCGGTGGATGTCCCAGGAGTTGGGCAGTTTCAGACAGCAAAGCAATTTCTGGACGGCTGCAAGGTTTGAAACCCTGTCTGTCGGCGACTCTCTTTTAACTCAGCTGCCTTCTAGCAACAATCTTGTGAAGGTCGTGTGAGTAGGATACCTTGCCTTCTAGCGACTCCAACTGCTGGAATTTTGCTCTATAATCCTTGCAAGCACAGGACTCTGTGAGCTCGTTGGTAATGTACGCTTTACTGTTTCCAGGAGGTCCGTGGTCGGGGTATGGTTGCAGTGGAAAGAGAGCTACGTGCTGCCGCTTACGACCCCGCATTTCTTTTACCATTTTCTGTGCACGGTCTTTCCATAGGCTGCATCAGTGCTGAAGAGTTTGTAAGACTCGGTCTGCTCGCCGTTGCCTTTGCCAGCATAAGTTCAGCCAATGAGAGTATGAGGAAGGCTGGATACGAGGTTCTGGCTAAATATTATACTGTACTTGAGGTATTGACGTAATTGGAGACTATTTTGTCAACGGGATACTTTTAGTCTAAACCGTTTTTAGTTTTTATGTTTGGATTTACTTTTGCTAATCCCTTGAGTTAAAGGTGACCTTTTTGACGCTTATGAGTGGGATATTGTAGATTTACTGGGGTATCCTTTTTCTCAAGTATCAATCACTGATTTCTCTGTACAAAGATTTGTGTTCCATGCAAACCAAGAGTTAATTTGTGATTTATCTTTGTGTTTCCAGGGCTGTCCGAGTTTCAAAGGCAGAACACAAGTCCGCCTCCTGATGACATACGTTAAGAATTCAGTTGCAGACGCTTGGCAGAAACTACCTCTTGTTTTATCTGTATTTGCCGCAGAAGCCTCCTGCATTCTGATGAATCCAGAAAATCATCACTACCTTACTATAAATCGCTTCCTGCTGCGCGCACCCAACTTGGACATGGAGGTTTGATCTTTGCCTTTCCGTCGTATTTCCTCATAAGAGATTTTTTTTTCTCGGCATGTAATCTTCATCTCTCGTTCAGTAAAATTCCTTCTACTTGTTTTAAGTTTTGTTTATTGTTTTGTCCTGAAATACTCCGACTAACTGACGAGTGTGGGACTTTTTTACAGAGTATACCATTATTTCAAATAATGTTTGGGAGTGGTTCAGTCCAATACCGGAGTGATCGTTTGTGGATGCTTCGCCTCCTAGCTGCGGGATTGGGTTCATCGGTGGATGCACACATCTATCGCCGGAAGTTTGTGCTAGAACTTTTGATGAGTTTTCATGATTCAGCAATGGCAGATAGGTTTACTCGCAAATGGGTGTTACAGGTGTGACTCTCTTAATTTCGGCTAGTCGAATTTTTGTCTAGGCTGAAAACGTATTATTGTTGAAAACATATTCTTCTCCTTGTTACTTTTATTGTATCACGTACTTTCCTTACTTTTCCGACTATCGATTAGTGATGACAGTTCTGAATCTTCTGTGCGTAATTTATGATTTTACTGTCCAGTTTTTTAATGAATCCCAGCCACGTACAAGATTGTTAACTTGTTGATTACCTCTGTATATTGTCTTTATTTGATATATGCGACCTTATTATCATCGTACCTGATGCCCACTTTGAGGATACAGTAGTTGATACATTCTTGTGTTGTCCTCTCAGGTCCTGTATCAAGCAGCCAATGTCCGCTCATGTTCACTTTACTTGGTTGAACACACGGGCCTGCTGTCGTGGCTTGCCTCCGTAGCTGTGAACGATTGTTTGAGTCAATCAGGCTCGGATGGAAAGGGGACTGAGGGTGAATTAGCATCTGTGTCACTGAAGGTAGGACTTACAAGTGACATTCCTATACAGCTGTGCTGCATAAGATATTTTTCTAAATTCTGTTTATGAACTGCAACTATTTTTGTGGTCTATTGCTCTCATCGCAAGACTTCAGTAACTTCGAGAAACTTTCTACATCAGCAACTTTGAGAAACTTTTTAGATCAGCTATACCTGTTGCGTTTGATACGGAGGTCGAATTGCAGAGCTCTTGATTCTTATAATTATTTTTATTTGGCTATGTTTCTGAAATCTCCTTGTTGCTGATATCGCGATTCTCATCCTTTGCAGGTAATCGAATCGATCATGAGCTGGGGAGTTGTGCAACGTCATCTTCTCACGGATGGAACGGAAGAATTGTCCAAAGTAGCTCTTATGTTTCACCGGTTTCTTGTGCGAAACTCGACATCACACTATCAAAAGATTTTCGCGAGACCTACCATTAAAGTGATGATCTCTGTCTTGCGGATGTCGCACAGAAGGAAGAAACACCAAACCCACTTCACTCTGAATATTGTAGGGTTGCAGGAGGTGATTAACTGGATTGAAGGTGGAGCAATGCCTTTAAAGTTTGTGGGGGAAATGGAACTGAGGACCAGTGCTTTGGAAATGATCCTCCACAGTTCACCTCCGCAAGTCACATCTATTCAGGTAGATTGTAACTGCAGTGACTGCAACATACCAAAGTGTTTTGTAGTGTTCCTTCTGATACAAGTCAGTTAAGCTTGAGTAGAGTAATTGCTCTGCATGAAGATTTTATGTGTTCTTGCTTGTTTGTGGATATGAACAGTCGTGACACTTTGAGAACGCCAGGAGTTTAGGGTTTAGGGTGAAATTAAAAATAGTTATTAGTAGCTTCAAGGTGGTTTGTCCTAAGTGATGTTTCTTGAGTAATCAGTTCATATCTAAAGGTATTTTACTCCTTTGACGTGGAGTCCTATTAATGTTTGTATCTTTGAACAGGACAAAGTTGGCTTTTATAATATCGCAAGCTGGGCAGTGCAAGTTGCGCAGCAAAGCGACTTGGAGAACTCCGTAGCCAGCAATATCATGACTGTAAAGTCGTCGCAGCAGGGAAAAGCGGGGCTTCATGAATCTCTTACTCAAAAGTTGCTGCGCTGGTTAGCAGCTGCTTTAGTCCTCGGAGGTATTTCAAGGGTCAGTGAAACTGCTGACAGCAACATGAAGCTCACCACCTGTTTGTCGGTTGTCAGTGCACTGAAAAAAGTTGAATCTCTTCACGGAGTGGTCGGTCTCCCTATCGACAGGAAGTTAGCCAGACTTCTGTTATCATTGCAAGGGCATGTTAAATTACAGACTGAAGCTCCTTCCCTGGTTACAGTAATTGCTGCTGTGACAACACTGACGCCGTTTACAGGGTTTTCAATTAAAGGTAGTGTATCTAACTCTAAATCGGTCTTTAATCTGAATTGATCTTGGCACATGGAAGGTTGGGTTAGTTACTGGACGATGAGCAAATATGTAGCAGAGGGGGTCATAAGTTCAGAAACTTTATACTCACATATAATCTGACAAGTACTTTCGTCATTGAAGATGATGATGGATTTCAAACAAGTGGCGAGAAAATCAGTTCAGTTTTGGAGCTTTTGCTCACTGAGCTCCCTTGTCCCGAAGAGATCAATCCTTCCTGGTTATGGTAAGTCTGTCTGCCGAATCCTCCAAGCAAGTGATTGAGATTTGCTTTCTTTGGAAAGCTAGGCTCGTCAAGATTCATCAGGTGGCTTTACTTAACATGTTTTTGATGAATTTGTCAGGTCCTTCAGTGGTCCTTGGAGTACACATGGGAATAGCAGCCCGGGTGAGAACGCCGCCGTGGAAGTCCGCTACGTTTCTGAAGTGTGCTCCACTATCTTCACCTTCCTTCAACTCCTTTGGTCCAAACGACCGGCTAGTTTTGCTTCTTGTCTTATCAATATGGAGGCGCGTATTACAGATCCTTTTATATTCACCACAAGGGATGACGATTCATCTAGGGACAAAATTCTTAAAAAGCTTGCGTTGTTGCAAGAAAATTTTTGCCGTGCTTTGCAGAGAAGACCTCTCGAGGTTGAAGAGTGTAATAAATACCATTAACCGGACCAGACTACCTGACGGTGTGATGCTCTATATTTTGACTATGTCCACACTATAATGGGTTTTCTGTCTCCCTAACGGCCAAAGACTTTTTAACTTCCTGCAAGATGCTTAGAAATTCATTGTGAAAGGCTTGATTGATATGATTTCAAATCTACCCATCGTAATCTCGCTCACCATCCTGCTACGTGAAAGACGGAGAGAGAGTTTACCTGCTATCAATTCGTGCTCTCCTGCCCTGAGACTGCAGTTGACAGCCCTGTATTGACTATCAACTATTGTTCTTGTATGGACCTGAGAAGGACATGTGCAATGGCGATATGTCGTGACCTGTTACACTTTATTCTTGCTGATTCTTCGCAAGAGGACAAATGGAGCAGGAAATTACTTGATGGGACCCCTGGGAAACTCAAAGCTCTTGATGGGATCCAACACATTTCATTTTACCCGATGGGACCCCAATTGAAGGCCATACATCCCACTGCCTGTATTCCAGTAAAAGTCATAACCAGTGACGGGGATCATGAGTAGTAGCAATTTTATCGTTCGCGTGTCACTTACAGCACCGGTGCAGCCATCAAATATTCATACATTTAAACACGAGACAAGACCCTCGTTTGTTCGCCTGTCACTTACAGCACTGGTGCAGCCATCGAACATTCATACATATAGACACGACACAAGACCCTCGTTAATTCGCCTGTCACTTACAGCATTGGTGCAGCCATCGAACATTCATACGGTCAGAGACGAGACAAGACTAAATGCAAAATGAGAATTGTAAAGATAGACTTACTTTCGTTAGTTCTTCGCTCCCATCAATCGATCATTTAGCCATCAGGTCAGCGTCCTTACTCACGAGCATTTGTGTAGCCATCGAACATTCATACCGTCAGAGACGAGACAAGACTAGATGCCAAATAAGAGTTGTAAAGATAGATACTTTCGTTAGTTCTTCGATGATTTAGCCATCAGGTCCGCGTCCTTACTCAAGAGCTTGGGTCACCGAGGACCGGCCTGCCGATTGTCTGGCTTTCTATCCATGCACTCCTTTTCCAAAATCGGATTGAATCAGAAAGTGAATCGCGGGCTCCGATCAATTAGCTCGAAAGCGACGGGCACCATTAGTTCTTACTTCTTAGCTGCGTCTGAGAAAGCTAAATACTCCCGATGTGGTTTCGCGGGGACTTCATCTTTCTACTCGAAATAACGCTAGATCGTATAGGAACATCACTTACTATATGTGCCTTGCTTTCACGTCTCATATTGTATTTGCTTTGTAAACTTTACAGCTGATTGTCACATGCTTCAAGTAACTGTATTTTTTCCGAAGAGATAAAATGTATGTGGATGTAGATTAACAAATCCCCCCGGAAACTAAAAAGTAGAGTTTACCCTTCTTTAATTTGTACTAGATACAGACCATATTGTCAACAGGTCATTATTCTCATTCTTAGAGGAGATTATTTTTGCAGGTCTAGGTCAGTTGTACTTGTATTAGACTTATTGAAACAGTTTATTAAGGGTAGGTGCTTTAATTAATTTCTGTCCTTGTTTCACCTAAGAATCCAATCTATTCGTTGACTTAAAGTAAAGTTGAATCAATTTAGTTTGTTATACCTTAATGGTGCTTCGACTCTGCCTCAATACAGTGTAAATTGAGTCATGTTGCGCGTCCAAGATGTTCCCCACGCTAGGCGAATGCAAAACAAATGAGCAGATACAAACCTAAAAATTATCTTACCTTATGCAGATCTGAAGGTTGAAAGGAAAAAATATGATTTTACCATGACCAGCAATATAAAAATATTTCCAATGTCATACATCGATGACATATTATTCAAATTAAATGAGCATTGCATAAAATCCGAATACAAGAGCAAACCCGGGAATGCACACAACTAAATGTTCAGAACGTTCATGAAAATTTGCATTAGTCGTCTGTGCATACGAGAAGGAACCACTCACATGCATGGATAAAGCCGAAGTGTGAAGTTGATCTGGATGTAGACTGGTACACATCGCCAATGTGGCATAAATAATCGATCAGCAAGCATGGCTAGGCGAGAATGGCTGTGCAAGAGCTCCGCTTCAGGCTTGACGTAACTGGCCGTAATATGATAACGAGGGAGAGTTTTCTGCTCTGCTCTTTTGGACTTCTGTGAGTATCGTAGACTAAGTAGGAGAATTTTGCAAAGGCTTCAAGGGTTGGATGGGGATTGACCCACCACTCCACTCTGAGCAAAGCTGTAATTGTCATTTCAGGATGCATCGTCCTGTTTGATCATTGACTTGACTTGTACCGGTACCGGCGTAAACACTCTGCAATTCCATTGCTGTAGGGGGCTCATGATGACTTGTTAACGAGCAACGATCATGCACTCATTTACAAAAACAGACTCAAGACAATGGAATTTCGTGCTACGAGCTTGTCAAAGGCGCACAATTATATTCAGAGTGGCATTTCTCAATGTACGCTCAACAGCCTTTTAGTGCTCAATATCATACGTATAGCTGCAGTGTAATAGCACATAGTGATTAATAGCTGACTATACTATGCTTGAAAAGTTCAGGAAGAAAGGGACCCGGAGGGCATCAATTTGAATGTGACATTTTCCCGAAGGATTAACCTGATAGCACTTTCAGTGGCATAAAAACAGTCTCTGTTTATTCAGTTCCTATCCAACTGAAGATGTAACTTTAAACAGACTCACGTTGGTGACATTGATGAAAGTAGCTATAGTGAAACATGTACAGCTGAAATTGACATGCAATTGCCACCAAATCCTAGATACCTGATGGTGGACTCAACTAGCAGACTAAGCGAACCCACCTTCCATGCCAGAGGGCAGTGCATAGGTTTAGTCTTTCGACTCAGCCAGTTCGAAGAGCCACTTAATCAGAGATGCTGATAAACCGCTTCAGCTTCACAGAACGTGTATATTGCAGCATATGACTATTCGTAAGCATCAACGATGTTGTGTATAAAGTCCTCCAATAAAATCGTTGAGCTAAATGAGTTTTTGAGTAATTCACGACGAAACTAGCACGTTGAAGTTCTGTGCTAGCACGTTGTTGTCCTTCTAGATGAAAGCGGATTGTGCGAATGCCGCAAACTGACGTGCTAGTTTGCTACTTACTACGTTGAAGACAGATTGACATTCGTGATCGCGAGTGGAGCGTCTCGGTTACCACACCCAAGTCACCGTCACCTTGCGAACTGTTCTGCCTGAATTTGTGTCCTATAAACTCCCTGAATGTCAACTTGCAGGAAGTTCTGTCCTATTCAATCACAGCTGTGACTCGCGTGTTGTCCTTCTAGAACGAAGACTAGCACGACGAAACTAGCACAAAACTTCCTCGGCGTGCTTCACTCGAGCATATGAACCAGAATAAGATTGCAATTACGAGCGCTAACCTAAGCATCAATTTGAACCCAGAGCAAGTACTTCGGTAGCTCTGAGAGGCAATGCTCGGGTTGTGTCACAGGTACTATCGTATTCTCGTAGGCCCGTGGAATGGATGGGAACTGACTGTACGAGTTTTTTCTCTTCCCCACTAGATCACAATCATGACTCGTCGCAGTCATTGAACTCGAGGATTAGTAGTTCTGGTACATATTACAAGAATATTCCCTCTACCTGCTTGTCGTGTACATGAGGATTTGCGATACTGGGATCTGGACGGAGAGTTTCTTGGAAATTCCACCACATATGTATTATCAACATTGAGTATGTCCGAGATATGTTGGCCGCTCATGACTTCCCGTTGAGAGTCGCAAGTCACGACGAGCGATGGTGCTTTCGATCGAGCATTTGATGCATGCAAGTGGATCCTTTTCATTCTCGACGGCAGAACGCTTAGTAACTTCGAACTTTGAGAACATCTTGCAATCAATCACAGGTGTCGATTAGCGATATAGAGAACGTTCGAGGCAGTGATCCAACTCAGCACACATGCTTCGAATTCAGGTGCTGAAAAAGTACTTCACGGATTTCAAGCACTGCGGCTCTAGGCCAAACATATATGCACCTGAATCTTTGGACTGGCTTCATGTTTCTTCGAAGCATTACGTCTCCTCACGCACACACGTCAGCTAAATGTGGAGGGCCAGACAAACTTAAGCTTCGACTTGTTTGACTGGCAAGACTCGTCTACGCGTAGATCGAAATTAAGCAACAATGATTTGATGCACGCCACATGCAATTTCGATCATCGCAAGAATGAATAATTTGACCACGTTCTTATGTTCCCTGCAAATTGCTCATTCCTCATCGAGCAAGCTCGTTACCCGTGACCCCACAGAGAACTCTAGTAAATTCAAAATTAACAATAAATTCATATGTTATGCAGATATCAATATGTTTTGACAAAATATTAAGTTTAAGTTTAAAATGTTCCATTTCTAAAATAAACTCATGTTGTACTCACACAAAGATATAGTAGAGTGGGATTTTCATGTAAATGGAATTCAGCTTGGTTTCTTTAAAAAAAATTCATTTTATCAATTACACATTAAATATTGTATATGGTTTTGAATGTCAAATTCGATATATTGAATGTAATTCTTCCATGATAAATTTTTACAATAAGAGTCATCCTCACTACTCTTTAGTCTATAAAATTCTGTCATGCACAAAAGTTACTAAAATTTTATGGAATTTTCACAGATTTTTTAATTGTTTACATTAGAGCTTAATAGAATATGATAGGAAAATAGACATTTTCCCATGTCATTTTTAATATGCATACAGATCAAAGTTCTAGCAGTCTGATGTAATGATCAAGTTATAAATGAAATATAATTTTTGCATTTCATTTTTCTTGTGTAAGATGCTTCTTATCAGTCTTTTAAAGATAAAATAAAATAAAAATAAACTTTTGGAGATCATATCTTTCAATTTGATTGCATCTGATACAACCTTGAAATGTGCAAAGAACACAACATATTGTGTAAAATTGTGGAAAATTTTTTTACTAACATTATACTTAATTTGAAATAAAATCATTTGAACTTAGTTGATTTATTCTATTTTCATATATAATTTAATTGAAAAATAATTTGCTATTAATTGTAAAACTTAAATTCTATCATATGTAAATATGCTATTATTGATATAATTAAAAGGTAACATATGACAAACATTTTGAAAGTTCAAAGAAAGATTCCATAGTATTAAGATGTATATTGCATTACTTTGACATGTAACTAGAATTTCCTAAAGATAATATATATGAATATGAACCAATTAAAGTTGAAAGATGTATATAAAAATGTATTAGCTTATGATGAATGTGTGAACCCTTTGAACCAAACTATATAGAATCTTTTGATTATTTTCAACTTTCAACTTTTTGTGATTGGATTCGCTTTTCAATTACAAAAATTATACTACTTTGCTTTTCAATCTTGAATTAAATAAAAATAATAATTTTGGAATAATAAAATAAAGAGTCCAATGATTCAATTTTTTCTACAAGGGCTAAATTGAGCTTTAATGTTTGGAAAAAAAAGGTAATGTTCACACAAATGTTTTAAAGATTGTCTACATTAACCTCCCACTTAAGTACGCACCTATTTAGTTACGCATTCCGATTAAGTACTCACTTTATGAGAAAATTTACAGGGATCAACATTTTCAGTGGATTCACTGTAGATTTCAGAAATTTCAACATTTTCAAAGTTTCACTTTAAATTTCACAATCGAGATTAGACTAATGCATCATTCAATGCCATGGGGCAAGGAAAGTCAAGCGAGATATATCTAACCATAAAGGGCGGTGTTGGAAAAAGTATGAGATGCAAATATCTCGTTCCAATAATCTAGTCTTTTGCTTCTTCATATCATGACACATCTAGAGCAAAAATGATCATCTTACACCCGAAAAAAAATATGAGTATCATATGATGCATGATACCCATATTATTAAATGGCGGTGGTAGTGTAAACATCATTAGTTAGTTAGAACTAAAATAGAGGTTACTCTAAATATTGATATAGATACTTTAGCGTGCACTAGTCATAGCCATCACGTCAGCAATCCGTGCGCTCGGTAGTTAGAGAATATGTGTGCTAGTTGATCGTGTCACGTCAACGATCCATGTGCTTGTTAGGTAAAGATTGAATGTGTTAATTAGTATATTAGTTATGAGAGCCACGTAAAAAATTCATGTGCTTGTTAGTATTATCCGCCACGTCATCCATCCACTAGGAGTGGGATGGATAGTGTGGATCACATTTTCTCTCCGTGTACTTGTTGGTGATAGTTATATAAGGGAGAGATCCATTGTTGCTATTTCTCATCTTGAGAATTTAAATTTTCATCTTTGAATTAACTTCTCTCTAAACCTTATTGTTATAGGGAGATGGAAAGTAATCGCTGGAAAATAGGCAAAAAAACCACAAAAATAATGCTGCGATGCCAAATATACTAAAATTCTTTGGCACTCGCGAACGGAGGAGGGCTGAGAAAATTGTACACTAATTGCTAGATGCATCATTAATTTCATACTCACACACTAAAGCTAGTTTGCTTGGAGTATTCTACTTTCTCAGTTTTGAAATGATCTCACATATTTGGGACTTGTTAAGACACTTGATTTTCAATTTCTTGCACATTGAAGCTCTACGCAAATGATCTGGAAATAAAATTGTTAATTACGCATCTCCTGGTTATGTACGCACAGAAGTTTAGGATTCAATGTGACTACTTAAGTGGTAGACTATTGTAATTATCTTCAAAATACAATTGAAATCATTATTTCAATAAAAAATTTTAAGTTTTAAACTCTTCAAATATTTTTTTTTCTGTTTTAGATAATTACAAAAGCTACATATGTTTGAAATCAAAAATAATCTTACATACATATTGAAAAACTATTTTACTTGCAATATATATATATATATATATAAGCTATAAGATACATATAAAAATATTCTTTTCCTAAAAAATTAATATACTTCATGTAAATTTATGTAAAAACATGAGACAATTTTTTAACTTATCAGATGATTTATCCATTTCATGGTTCTCATCATGATTCATTAAATAAAAATTATTCAAAAAACTTGTAAATTGAAACAACATGCCTATGACTATGAGAATAATATTGAACCCAAAATATGTGTGTTCCGGAGATAATTTCCTTGCAAAATAGACCAACCTACTGAGCATAATCTCAAAAGTCACTGGCAACTTAAAAATGTTTCGAAATCAAATTACAAAATTTTGCAGCTAAACAGACATTTAAAATGTCTTAAATATATTATTCAAAACATTTAGGCTTTCTATTTTCCTTCGAGAGAACTAGGATGACTCAGGAGTCTCCATATTCCACATGACTATAAAACGGATAAAATATGTATTAAAAAAAACCTCTTTTATTTCAGACTTTTGAATGTCTCTGTATGTTTTTAATAAAAAACGGATGCCTCCACACTTGCTACCTCTCTATATCCGACAAAAAGTATCTCGTGTGACTCAAAAGTGAAATTAATAGAAACAACAATGATGGTAGATCGTCATTAGAATCACATGCCACTTCATAAATGAAAAACACAAATGTACTCATCATCTTCATAATAATGATCACACGATATTCCCTGTATTGTCTATGGCGAAAGTATCTCGCACAAGGTCCAGTATGTTGATGATTTAAGATATAAAACATTATGTTCATTATTTCAAATTGATAAAAACTGCACGGCAATTAGCAAATCTACATTCGTAAGAGTGGATACATTCCGATATGAAGCAACCGACCAAGAGGAGAATCTGGACAGAAAACACAACCACAGATCTTGTTATCCATATAGAGTGTAACTTGAGAGTGTCATATCAAACCGAGTGAATAATTTATAGAAGGAGTATATCTAACTGAAGGTCTGTGGGAATCTGCTACGGTAGTAATGGAAAAACGTGCCTCATATTGTATCATCGATGCAGTAATATCCTCAGCCAAGATATGCTCCGAACAAAGAGTATAAATTTTCAAGGGAGTATAAATTTTCAGTCCCAATCTAAGGAAAATAATTGCTAAATAATTTCGCGCAGGGTCCGACGCGGAATATTCTAGAACCCCGTTGTGCTTATGATCCCACGTACTGTACTTTATCTTTACAGAACTTGGTGGCGGGGCCTACAGAAGTAGATGTTCGTCGACGACGAGAACGAAATAAGGAGATGGCCGGAGATCGACGGCGGAGGCGCGGGGTCAGATGACATGCGGATGACGTGGCCGGCCTTGAGCGGTCGGAGGAAGGCCAGAGGAGCGCTGAGGCGCGCTGCAAATGTTCGGGCGACGAGGGACAGTGGAGAGCGTGAAAGATGTCGTCCCCGTCGATGTCTACAAGCCCGACGATTGTGCTCGAGCACGAGCGCGGAAGGACGGGTTCCGATTGGAGGCCGAGTCGGGAGTCGGCCAACGACCTCATATTTAGTGCCCCGACGTGAGACTCAGAGTTTCAGCATTTGTGCCCCTGCGGCGAGGTCGGACCGGCTTCTCATCAAATGGAGCTCGATCGATCGATCTGAGTGAATGCAGCTAATTGTGCGTAATCACGAGGTATCACGAAAGGGAAATGTTCAAAGTGTGCATTCCTTGCACACCGATCGGCTACATTCCTGCGTAGTTTTTCACGTATCTGGAATTCGAGTACGCTGAGCTTGAATGGAGACTGTGTTTCGCGGTAGTCGAGGCCGCCAAGTATAATTTGGATCTTGCGCCTCTTGAGGATTGACCGTCGCTGGTGTCCTTGTTAGATCGAAAGTGCAGCAGATTAGCACTTCACACCTGAAAGTGATTTGTTTGTTCGTTTCTTGTTCTTATGTTTTGTTTTTTATTGTTTTACCTTTTTATTGTTGCTCTCCTTCAAAGCTAGTTTCCTCTGCTGTGGAAGTCAGTGATAGCGCCATTGTAGTCGCGACCTGGTAATTCTCGAATTTGTTTTCCTCCCTGTGACTGTGGTCCTGTGCTGTAATCCACCCACATTGCGATGAGAAGACGGTCAGTGCAGCTGGGATGATTGGTCTTTATACACATGCCTTTGCCCCTCTACATGCCTTTGCCCCGTCCCGACAATTTTCTTGAAGGTTTTTTCATGAAATGAATGAGGGTCGGGCTTCTTTGTCGGAGTGTAAAGAGGATCCAGAGATTCGATATTCACATGCTTTTCGTTCGCACTCTCTCTAGCTATAGTTGGAATGCCATTGCCTTCGAGTTGAATGTAATTCACTCGATATATGGATCTTTGGGAGCAAGTGAAATTGCATTCTGTAATACTTATCCTAAAGCCAGAGAGTGATGAAGAGATATAGCTGTAGAGAGGTTGCAGCAGCAGTTATGCCGTGTGCCATGTGCCCGCCTGTTATATTATTGCAAGATCACCTGACCCATTTTCTTACAGATTATTCTTGTTTCTAGCAGGATAGAAGCAACTTTTCAATTTTGAATAGTTAGTTGTTAGAAGATGGCGAAAGCGCGGAGCGTCTCGGCTCAGCCGAAGAAGGATAAAGTTGAAAAGATCGAGAAAGTTCTTTCCACTAAACCTCTATCTGCCCACGCACCAATCGTCACCTATGTGTCCATGACTACGTTGCTCCTCTTGTGTCCACCATTCGTCATTGCCTTGTAAGTATTCAGCATCTGACATGATATACATTACACTTTGCAAGGAAAAACGGGTCCTCTTAATCTTAAATCTCAAAGCATTTTGCGTCATAACCACGGTAACGTGGAAGTGGTAATTGGGAATAAGCTGCGAGCTTCATCGTGAATTTAGAAAACTTATGTCATGGGAGCAGCCCTGTTTAGTGTATCATGCTCTGTAAGCTGAGATCAATACCTTACGTGGATGCGTATTTCAATGCAACAGTCATCAGATTTGGTCCTGGTATATCTGTGCCCTCAGCGCCTACTTTACTAGCCTTCATGCGTTTTCCTCTCATTATTCAGTCCATAGATTCCTCATTGGGCTTTTTAACGCTTACGCCTGTTATTGTTTTCAATTGTCCGTAGTCATGACTTGGTCGTAAGGTACTAGCAAGTAAACTTGATGAAGAATCTGGGATATTGCAGATGGTACACTATGGTAGAGGCAGACGGTTCTTTCATGAACCTGGGAAAGTTTATTGCTAAGTCCGGATTCAGCGGATTTTGGTCAATCTGGCCCAGACCAACGTGGACAGCCTGTAAAATAATTCTGGGTTTTGGCGCCTTTGAGGCGCTCCTTCAGGTGGCTCTTCCTGGTGAAGAGTATTTGGGTCCTCTTTCGCCCACGGGCCATCGTCCTGTCTACAAGGTTGGAGAATAGTCCTGCTGACTTCTACTCGTGCAGCTGGATGGTCTTTTTGCAAGTTAGTCACGAGAGTTTCGGAAGTGGTTTGATCCTCCTTCGTTTTTGTGCAGAGAAATGGATTTTCTGCTTTCATAGTAACAATGGTAACGTACTACGTTCTTTGGAGGTAAGTGGGCCTGAAAGTTTTCCATCTTTTAATTGATGTTTATAATTATCCAGCTTATTTCGGGCCACAAGCTTAAAGGTTCACTCAATAATTTTCAAAACTCAATAATAAAGTTAAAAACAACGTCCTGTTTATTTGTTTTGTTGTTGTACATGGACAAATCTTACGAAGCCGCTAGGGTTGAGAGTCACACAGACCCCTTCCGACTGCAAGGCATATTTTCCCATTGTGATAGTTCAGCCTACGTCGTTATAGCAAGAGGGAATTCGTAATCAGGCAGCAACGTCGTCCTACGGCATTATGCCAGTTGTCTCGAATTCGTGTATTTGTTAAACTTTCAGTATTTGTCTGGTTTTGTTGATCAGTTACGATTGTCTGTTTCAGGGAAAAGGTTTTTAACCCAGCCATTGTGTACGACCATCTTGGCGAGATTCTTTCAGCACTCATCTTTGGGAGCCTTGCTTTCTGTGTCCTCCTTTACATTAAGGTACGATCTCTTCGTCAATTCAAAGTGCGCATCAGTACATTGTATCTGCGCTTAGTTCGTGTGAATATCATCCTATCTGATGAACGTAATTTTGTATCTCACCACAAGATCTCCAAATATCTTCTATAGGGACACCTAGCACCATCATCTACAGATGGAGGTACTTCCGGCAACGTCCTCGTGGACTTCTACTGGGTATGGAGTTGTTTATACCTCTATCTGGTACTTTCATCTTGGGTTCCTGAGTATATAAGTGAAGCGTCTGAACAGTAAGGTGTTGAGAAGTTCGTTCTTTTAATCCTTGAAGCAGTACCGTTCGGAGCTTTTTACAATAATGATGTCGTTTTTGTCTTTGTAGGGAATGGAGTTGTACCCACGTATTGGCAAATGGTTTGATATCAAGCAGTTTACCAATTGTCGATTTGGGATGATGTCGTGGGAAGTATTGGCCCTCACGTATTGCATCAAGCAGGTAGTGTCGTACATTCAGTTTCACAGCTATGCCTTATGTGCGTCTTTATTCTCTCTAAAGCAACCGCTGCGGTGTGACGTTTCTGCCTCGGTGGAGATTATGTGCTTCTCAACTTTGATCGATAATAGAGTTGAAATCCTTTATAATCCTCTTCAATCATGAACACATGGAGTGGACCCACAACACTCTTCGGCATATCTGATTATTTTCCGTGCAGGTTGAGCTTGATGGGAAGTTGAGTGACTCCATGCTGGTCAATACAGTTCTTATGTCCGTGTACATTGCGAAGTTCTTTTGGTGGGAACCCGGCTACATGGCTTCCATGGATATTGCTCACGATCGTGGTTAGTATCTTGTCTGGCGTCTTTCCTAATTGCATAGCTAGAATACACATGACTGGATGAAGGCAGTGAAAATCTCTATACCTCAGCAATGTTTTGGGTGCAGTAAAGGAACTGTCATCTCAATATCTAGATTCTTTTGTGCCGGATTTTTCATCTAACCTCTTCCGTCGTCTTACGTGTCTGGATATGTGCAGCGGGATTCTATATCGTATGGGGTTGCTTGGTATGGGTTCCATGTATTTATACATCCCCGGGAATGTACCTCGTGAAGCACCCCGTAGAACTTGGCTGGCCTGTAAGTGTACTGTGAAGGCCTAGCGAGAGGGACTGTTTGCTGTCGAGACATAATTATCGCAGTGACGCTTGAGGATTTTAACTGCATTTCGCTTTAGTTCGGAGTCACTCCAGTTTGTCCACCAGGCACCACAGCCGTGAATTGAGATGAATGATGGCGAAAGTCGTACCCTTCATTTTCCAGACCACTTCATGTAGCTCAGACCCATGGCTGCTGCTCAGTTCAAGCTCTCGCCTGTTGTGCAGGTTGCAACTCTAATCACTTTGGCTGGGCTCACTTGTATCTACATTAATTACGAGTGTGACTATCAAAGGCAATTGTTTCGTCACACAGGAGGTACAGCAAAAATATGGGGACAAGTACCCACGAAGGTAAGAGCAGACCTTCTTACTTGGCATATGTTTCCTAGCCATGTTTTCATGCTCGGCTCATTTTGCTAGCATAGGCAAAATGCTAGCAAAATCGGTTGCTATTGAGACTGAAGAAGGTTAATGTGGTTTGACGATCAGATCGTTGCTCATTACACTACTGAAGCCGGTGAACCAAAGCAGAGTATCCTCTTAACTTCTGGCTGGTATATTCTACATGCTTCCTCTTTTGCTTATCTGACACATTTTTGTGAGATCTTTTAGACGGGATGGCATAAGTTACCGTTTCTGCTCGTTTAGCTAAGTAAGAATCTCTCTGGGTGTTCTCAGGTGGGGTGTCTCACGTCACTTCCACTACGTACCAGAAATTCTCGCTGCCTTTTTCTGGAGCTTACCTGCTCTTTTCTCAAATGTGAGCTTCTAGCCCATGCTCTTGGAACGTTTGAATCTCTACGGATGTCTCATTACTAGTTGAGGATGATAATTTACAAATCAGAGTACGCAGAGGTTTGAGTCGTATTATTTAGAACTTTGATTTGCTTAACATACGGACCTGGACTTAGGAGCCTTTCTTCTTACTGTGCATTTGCCTTACATGGTCGGTTAGTGTGATATCGGGTATTAATGCGCTTTTAACATGAGTCGAACTAATGTACTTGTTATCTGCAGTTTGCACCGTATTTTTATACTGTCTTTTTGACAATATTGCTATTTGATCGCGCGAAAAGAGACGATCAAAGATGTCGTGCCAAGTAAGTTCTGATATACTCTTCTCGAGAAATTTCGTGTGTTCCCTTAGAGTGGTTGTCAGTTGCATCCTTCCATCTATGAGATGGAAGGATTTTAGACTAAAGACATCAAACAATACCTTCAAACATTCCATCCTCAACGCCATAGCGTTTGAGTTTGCTCTGCATTTGTTGAGTTGGGTAACTAGTACTTTACAGAGAATATAGGCACACAGGAGCAGAATTTCATGGTTCAGGTTTTGCTTTTGAATATGGCTGTCAACTTTTGGGAGGTTAAGCCTGACCGTAACGTTGAACTTTTGCAGATACCAAAAGTATTGGGACCAATATTGCAAGAAAGTTAGGTATGCGATTGTTCCGGGTATTTACTGAGCTCGGATCTCAAATTGACCCAAAGTCTGTTTTTCCGTAAGGCTTCGGAGCAATCAATTTGCATCTACTGGTTAGGAGAACTTAGAGAAACTGAAGACAGACTCTCATGGCGCGATTACTGACTCTACTTTAAGTTGGAAAGAAGGGTCCTAAGAGAACCTAAACTACCGCTGGCGAGAATGTTCCTTCAAGCTTAATCGTTCTTTCATCGCATGCCTTTCAGTACCTGACTCCATAAGTAGAACTCGAATTATGGCGTAACGACGAGTTCATGGAGCTTTTAACTTCACCAAGAAAGCAGATGGTCTCACAGCTGCGCGTAGATCATCTGTACTATGCCCGGATTGATGAACAGTAGTTCTCTTTAAGTTCTACTTATTGTGGAGTGACTCTTCCGGAATTGTACAGTTAGATCGCTGTAAAGCAAGTTCGGTTGTGGAGATTGACACCGAAGGCCAAATTTTTTCTTGGCTTTTTTAGATGACTGGGAGTGTCGCCTTAATTTCATCATCCACTTTTTCTGGTACCTCGTCTTAGGACTAAAACATAAGAGGATTTAGAAATAAACAAATGTGTGGATCTAATCAATATCTTGTCGTCCTTTCAAGAGGGGTATTTCGAAGAATCTGGTTTAAAGCCAAGTTCGAAGACTTCAATCGGAGCAATTGAAGATTATTTTTTTCACTATCTTGCACTGTTGTAAACTTTCAGCCGACGATGCTAGAACGAAAATGTAGAGGTTCGAAATTTGCAGGTTTTCAAACTGTGCCAACGTTTAGACACGCCTGAGGTTCTCATTTCTTCCTGTACAACCACATCATACAGGACATATCAATTGCACTCGTGGGTCTATATGAAGCCAAATCGTGTGGCGACAAATCCGCATAACTGGAAAGGTAACCCACCCTGGGACGATTTTCTCATAATGGTTACACTTCAGAAGCTATTAAACACGAATGTTTTTGATTAGCTTGAATGGAGACAGTGTTGAATTTATGGAACAACCTAAACTGGTCCGTTAGGGTCTGGGAATTGTTTGGTGAGTTGATCACATAGATCAAGCCTATATCAGCAAGTGAATTGGTGACATGCTATGTACTCTGGCCAAGTTCTCTCTGTGTAGGAGAATATATACATATGGATTTATCCTAAGTCTAACCGCGCACACGGTGGTATGATTCGGAGACGTTAACGGCATATATCCATTATCAACGGCGCAAGGTATCAATCAAGGTTTGGCTATGGGTTATTGAGTTAAGTAATTGAGATTTTGGGTCACGTAGACATTCGTTGGGTCTGCTAGGGATTTACGTTCGGGGTCTTTTCACTTGTATTGTGTTTTTCAGCCTTTGGGTCCCTCGGGCTTGGTCTATTACCATTTACCATGTACTGGAATATTAGGTATCAGTCTGGTCCATAGTTATTCTGATTGGTATATCGTTATATGACCATGCGCACTAGTTCCATAGGCCAGTCTTTGAGCCTACACATCAGTTGTGTATGATCGAAGGAGCCATTAAATCTTAGGTCAAAGAATCATAAATCTGGGTCCAAAAACACCCCAAATTCGTACGTGTCAACGTTATCCTTTGCCCAAGCTTATATAGCGCTGCTCACAGTTGCATTGTGAGCAATCTTTCCTTACAAGCATTCATTCGAAAGGTTTCCAATGAGGTATTGCAAGTTGCACTAGCAGCTTGCAGGTAAGCATGGTTCACCCAATAGTGACCACATACCCTAACCTAGTCTAAGATACAGGAATGCCCTGTTAAATCTGATGTGGCCAATTGGGGTGCAATCGAGATGCAAAGATGTTCTTCGCGACCTTGTTCTATTTGAATTGTCATATTGAGAGCTTTCTAATGAAATCTTAATCATTCAAATCACATTGGAATATTTTAGTTATATCTTGAAGCATGTAAGCTTTATCTAAGTTATCACTGCTATGAGAATTCACAATTGTTTTGGATTCCAATGGCTTGATTCGTCATTTAGCAGAAATTGCTAGAGAACTTTGTTGCAATATAAGCGTCTTGGTTTACAACGAATGTGAAAAATGTCGTAGATGCTATTCCCTTTCATCTATACAAACGATCACCCTACCTCATTTTGAAGGATAGCCAGCCTCTTATGACCAACTTGTTTTCAGGTAGCAAATCCTTGACGTGTTATTCTTTGCTAAGTCCATTTCCTGGTTGCAATCTTTTGTTTACCTTCCGTTATCTTGATCCAAATTACTGCAAAGTAAAATTCTAAAGCACTAGTGAAACACATTTCACTGGTGCTTTAGAATTTTTGAACTTGCCTTTCAAACTTTTAACATTTTTAGAGAGAACATGCAACTCACAAACCATGTGAATTGTTTTCTGAAATTGTAGAAGTACTAGTATTTGTTTTGATTGAAATGTTTTTTGTTAATTTTTTTACTTGAAATGTTTTAACTAAATTTTATACTAGGTTAGTTTGAAGAGATTGCAGTTGGTTGGTGGAGTGGCATGGGTTTTACGAGGACCAATCATTTGTTTTTTGCAGGATCTTGAAAGTTGAAAGAGACCTTTCTCGCTTCCCTTCTCGCTTTATGACTTTCTACTTGTGAAACTTCCGAGTCTGAATTCTTCAACTACTTGGTTGTATCTACTCCTCAGCTCTTCGTCAATTCCAAGAGTTCAACACAAGAATTTGGGAGTGTAGGTATAAAAAAAGCCAGTATCTCAGTGTTTGGTATTTAGTCCATCTATGAATTTAGATTTTATTCAAAACTCAACAAATATTAAACCTTTGTCTAATTTTCCAATAGACGCTTGCACCAATAAACCTAAACTCGTCAACTCTTAACTTGAAATTCTTCTGCATCTCAAAGCTTTTTGAGTTCTGAATCAAATCGGTTCACTAAATTTTTTTGAAGTAGAGAGGCTTTCTCTACCATCTAGAGTCTTTGGCAAGGATAGGTTCCTTTGTTATCCAACCATCAATGTTGCTATTCTAGATATGAGTCTTGCTGAGTCTTGCACTCAACTTTACTCATGATCTAGATCTTGGATTCATTACTGGGTCTTGATCTAGTCATATGTCCTTTGGATTGAGTCTGATTTTTAGGTCTTGGTTTGATCATGAGACCGATAAGTGGATCTTATATCCAACATGAATCTTAGGATCATCCATGATACTTATGTTATAAAAACTCTTTAAACTCTTGATCCAAATGTAACTTAAAACCAACTTAGTGTTTCTCTCATGCATCTTGATTAGCCCGATACAATTGAACAAGATTATTGTTATTTTGCTTGGTGCATCACTCTTTTCATACGTACTTATGACTTTGCATCAATCTCTATCTTCTATAATATGTGAGAATCAGTAAAAATTTCTGTGACTAGTTAGTATTTTAGCCACAAGATTAATTATGCCTTCTTTATATAAGTCATTTGACATCATCATGATTAGATTGGAATCTCGTCCTAACTTTTCAAATTTTTATTTGAATTTTTTTTTTATTTACTTGTTCCTTAGCTCTAGTGCATTTAGTTCAGTCCAAACTTCACTTTCATACTTCAGCAAACTATGTACTTTGTAACTTTGCTGGTTTAGATTTGTTGTTTATGATTGATCAGCACATTGATAATGAACAGGTTCAATATGACAAGAAAATGTTCAATATGTTCTTGTCATTCTCAACATGTTATACAACACATCAATATTATTACACATAAAATATTTATTCACTTTAATTGCAACACTTCTTTTCTTGAAGTTTAATCTGAACTTCAGGTTATTATATATAATGATGATAAACGAGGTAAAAAAAGATGCAGAAATTTATTACATTACTTCCTACACTACACTAATATTGCTTCCAATACATTTGTTTGTGATGTCAAGTTGTATGTTAAGACTTGTTTTTCATCTTTATCACATATGATAAAATCTCATTAATTTTTATGTCTCAATTTCATTTATGTTGTTTGGTTTTAAATAAACAGCTTGAAAGAATTTAAAATTATAATCTTTCTCATCTTATTGAAATCTTTAGCAATTTTCATATTGAAATTGTTTACCAAATTTTTCGCACAATAGTTTGATATCAATAGGTGATGAAGGAGTTTTTAAAAATGTTTCTTCCAAAATGATTTTTTTATGATTAAAAAAATCAAATTTGTTTCATCTTTATTTTTAAATAAAGATAAAAAATAATTTTAAAATAATTTTTGCATGAACATATATTTCATTATAATTTGCTGTTACATTACTATGATCTTATATTTTAGCAAAAACTTAGGTCAAATCATTTAAAAAACAAAATTTACAATTGATGTATATGTTTTTTTGTTGAAAATTGTTGAATTGAAAAATTAAAATTTTCATCTTATATAAATAATAACTAGAATCCTAAATGATATGTTAATGCATGAACGATAAATATTTTTTCATCTTCTTACATTTGATGATAAAACTTAGAACATCCATAGAGCAAACAAATATATGTAACTTACATAAATCTCATTAAATTACTTACATGTTGAACATTTCAAGCTATATTTCTAACATGCTTCCTTTATATTCACAATAACATTCCATACTTGAAAATTATTACAACTTCATTTTCTATCTAAATTTATTTTTTGTTGCATCCAAATCATTCTATCTAAAAAAATTTCAAAGAAATTTAAATTTTATAACAACAGATTTGAATCTTATTGCAATAAGCAAAGCATCCAAATAATGAAGCCAAAAACTTCATATCACAACTTATTTATGTATGCGCAAATATGAAACATTTTTAAAAAAAATTTGCCATCTCATGAAAGAATCAAATTATTTATTTCTTGGTCTAGAATTTTGCTTTATATAATGCTTTTAGCAATTTTCATATCATCATTTATAATTTTTTATTTAATTCATATGTTCTTTATGAATGAAAATTTCAAATAAATTCTCATAAAAAACTATGACAACATTAGTTCCATCTAAGATGAGATTAAACAAAGTCACAAGTATTCATAACAAGCAACAAACATATAGTAACATGTTTAGTAATTCAAAAATAAATATTCTTGTGTTATGTAACTTAAACTTCCATAACACATTGGCCATTAACCAAATTTTTATTTTTAAAATTGTAGAATTTTTAAGCTTCACCAAAAACTTGTATTCTTATTAATATGCACTTAAATCTAAAACAATCAAGTTGAAACTTTAATTTAGTTTAAAGTCTAACATGAAATAAGTCTAACGGTTCAAGTGGTTTCAGTTGGAGATGGAATTGCACTTGTTTATGGACTGAACAAGATTAAAGCACGGAAATGGTTGAATTTGCCAGTGGTGTAATGACTTTAAATCTAGAAAATGAAAATGCAGGAATTGTTATATTTGGAAGTGACACTGCTATTAAAGAAGGAGATATTGTAAAGCGCACTGGATATATTCTAGATGTTCCTGTAGTAAAGGACATCTTAGGTAGCGTGCAATCAAATTGAATACTTCAAAAAAAATTAATGCTCTTGCAATCATTCAAGTTTTACTTAGAAGTTTTTCCAGTTACTTTGATCTTGCAATTCTGTGTTTATACCAACTTTTGATCATCAATTAGCTTGAAATACCTCGTAAGTAAGCTAATTGATTACGAGGTATTATCTAGATATCATTTTAATTATAATTTTAAT